CTTCGAGGAGTACCGGAAGACTGCTCCTAACTATGAGTACAGCGGGGAGGGAGATGATCGAAGGATCCTTCCCAAGAACACTCCGATAGACATGGAGAAGTCATTACCAGCCGAGGTAGCGCTCTTGATTCCGAGAGCAGTGGCCACGCAGAAGGAGGCTGAGGAAGCCGAGAGGGCCGCAATGGAGGCCATCCGCGGGGATTATAGGCTTCCGGATGTGGGTCAAGAGGACAGGGAGAAGGTCGACCCTTACACCGTGACGGACGAAGACTTGGCTGCGTCGGTAGACGCGTTGACTAGGAGGTTGAGCAACATGCCTGAGTGGTCGGGAAATATGATCGACCCTGTGAAGTCTGCTGAGCTGGTCGCGGCGAGATGGGGCGGAAAGGCGAGTTATGACAAGCCTGAGGCTCCTCTGACTGAGGCCGGGATGAAGAGTGCGTCATTGGAGGATCGTGCCTACGCACTATCGCAGCTGAATCAGATGGTGAACTTTCACAAGAAGCACCTCTGCTCTGGGCGAGGAGCGCCTCTGGTGAGTGCGGCCGCCCCTAGTGGACCCTTTGCTCCTGACCAGTTGGATGATAGCAGGAAGTTCAGGCCTAGTGGGGCGGCGAGCAAGATGACCTACAATCTTGTGATACTGGATGGGAAGGAGGATTATCTTGCCGATAGGCGAGAGATCAATCCAGAGTTAAGGGAAACGGGAGTTATCCCTGATGAGGCCGTCACTTGCCAGATTGTGGTTCCCTCGAAGACGAGGTTGGGTGAATACCTCCCGAACTACGAGGAGACCGTGGGCACCGTTGCAGGACGGGAGGCGGCGAAGGAGTTGATGAGACTGCTCTCGTGCGATTTCGACGGCTTGGTCATCAATTCAAAGAGAGTCTCGGAGTTATTCGAGGAACGTGTGCTGAAGGAGACCGGACGCGAGGCTGGAAACTGGGTGAAAAGTGACCAGGCCATCTGGTTCCTGAAGGAGATTTCGGGCATGGAGAACGCTGAGATGTCTTGGAAGTTCTTCATTCCGACGCTTAAAGCTTTCCCGATAGGGCAAGTGGAGGCGATGCTCATGGTCATGTACGACGGGGATGGCGTTCTCCTCAAGGAGAGCACCAGGTTGGTTGCCGTTAGGCACACGCGGATCGGACGCGACTTGAGTTACAGTGCCGTTAGGCACAGGTATACTCAGGAAGATGCACCTGGCGGATCTCTGATGTATGAGATGCATTGGAATGAACTCCCCATGGTGGGATACGTCATCATGAAGTTCTCGGACTTTCGGAAGGCGGTTCAGCTCCAAAGGGTGAGGCGAAATGGAAAGGCCATGATCGAGATATTGATCACGAGGCCCGATGTGTACGAGACCATTGGGGATGGTAGACAGGATGAGGGCCTGATCCCACTTGTGGGAGCCATGGCGCCGGATGCTGAGGTATCGCCTTCGTGGTATGTCAGGGACAGGCTGCGGAACTACTCCGGTAGGTACGTGGTGGTAATGGTGGATCTTCGGGTGCACTGGTCCTTGGTTGGACCCGTGTTTTTGACGAGAAGGAAGACTCTTGCCGTTAGGAACGAGATCCACATGGGGGCTTGGAAGGCGGCGTATATGTACGATGATTACACGATAGTGTACCATCGGGCATGGGACTACGGTGACTTCACCCCCGTTAGGGGAGAGCACAGGCGATCACGGGAAGAGATCAGGCTGAATGTGACTGCCACGTTCTGCTTGAGGTGCGCAGAATTGATGCCGAATGGGATGCACTTGTGTCCCGGGTGCGCGCTCCCGGTCTTTTACCCGAACTTTATCCCCAACGCGGAGGAAAAGGACTTCGAAACGTGCCACATCGTGCCGGAGTGGGTGAGGACCATGGGGCAGTTCAAGCCCAGGAGGATTCCCTCCGAAGTGGTCGGAGTCATCAAGAGGAATTTGATTTCCTATTCAATGGCATCCGATCTAAGGATGACGGTGCAGAGCGGCATCAGACTTCCCCCTTATCTTGGTGAAGACAAGGGAGGTGTCGATGCGGCGTGGGATGAGCTGGCGAAGGTGCTATTCCAATTCTCCTATGTGTCCGGGATTTCGGCATCGGATGCGTTTGTGGAAAAGTGGGTGGCGAAGCACCTGATCAAGACCAACCAAGTCGATAGATTTGAGTCGGTCACGGAGTACTTCCGGGCCAACCCAAGACACGCTGCTCAGTGGGGTAGGCGTATGACGACTTCCGTTAGGAAGTTCGCTCGTCATGACACGTACTTGTCATTCTATATTCCGATGGCATACGTGATTGGTTCTGCGGCTGGTCATCTGACCCCATTGTACCCGACCCATCGAAAGGACGTGGACATCCTGGAGAGTCATGCGTTGATTTCGCAGCTCAGGAAGTACATGGTATCGGAGACGGGGTACGATGAGAAGAAGAGGTTGAAGGAGGCGATAGCCAAGGTGCAGAAGGCGATCAGCGCCGGACAGTCGGAGCCTCCCGCACCCTTCCGTGACCCGTTCGTCTACGTTAGTGACGAAAGGGTGAGGACGGTTCTTGACGGTCGTCAACCCGAACCTTTGAACGTGGACATCGAGGGACTCCAATCGGTGCATCATGCTGCGCCGGGTCCTGGTCCCAAGCAGGAGCCGGTCCCCAAGGGCGGAAAAGGAAAAGGAAAGAAAGGGGAAAAGGGCGGTAAGGGCGGTAGTCCTTCCGGCCCACCACCGAAATCAGGTGATGTGCCAGGTAAAGGATCTGGTAAGGGCGGTAGCCCATCTGTCCCAAAGGCGAAGGACGGTGCTGGACCTGCTCCGATGGAGGTTGATACAGCAGCAGCTCAGCCGAAGAAGTCTTGGGCCGAGATGGTGGTTGAAGGAGCCAGGCCGAGTGCCAAGGCTAAAATGACCCCGATTCCTAAGGCCGAGCCGAGAGGGAAGGCCGCTTCAGCTTCTGAGGCAAAGGGTGCCCCGGCTCCAAAAGCTGTGGCTAAGGAGACGAAGCAGGCCGAACCGAAGGTTGAGGTCAAGAAGGAGAAGGCAGGAGGAGGTGACGCTCCCGGCGGTAGCCGCGGGTCGGCCGAAGGACAGAAGAGAGAAAGGAAATCCCGTTGGGATCCCGACGAGGCTGCGAAGGAGTCGACAAAGCGGGAGGCGTCCACGAGGCCTGGCGACGTCGACAGCAGACCAGGTGCGGCAGCGAGAGAAGCTAGCGGGGATGATCTTCACTCCGCGCTTGGCAGATCTTCGGCAAAGGATGCGGTAGCGCCTTTGACGGCCTCCAAGGCGATGGCAAAGAAGCCTGAAGGCGGGGAGATCCGGCTGCAGTCTGCTGAGCGGGCTGCGGCGAGCCCGGTGGAGGGTCACTTCCTGGTGCTGCCTGAGAGTTCGGTGGTGGACGCTTTCTTGTCGATCTCCACCAATAGAGTGCTGAACAAGCAGGTCAGGGATTTCATCAGGAATGGTGAGGACGCGTCGGCACTGGAGGCTCTCAACCAGATCGTGACGAACTCTCGATCTGGGAGGAGGCATAGGGAATCGGATGTTTCCCGTACTCCTTCTCGGAGGTCCGTTAGGACCGTGGACACCAGGGATTCCAGAGAGTCGAGGAGGCGCAGATACCGTCCGCGGCGCGAGGATGATCGCGACAGGAGGAGGGACGATGCTCGTGATCGTCGTGATGATGATTCACTCGATCGGGAGCGAGATCGAAGGCGAGATGATCGCAGGAGATCCGAAAGGGATCGTGACAGGGACCGTGCGCGGGGCGGGCGTGACCGGAGGAGACGTGACGATAGCCGGTAGGCTGAGTCACGGGGATTGCGGCCGATAGGCTTGCGTCCATTCTCCACTGGTCGGCGCGGTGTGGAGGTGGTGATGTTCCTCCCGGACCGCTGAGGCGCGGAGGTCATGTCTCTCACGTACCGCTGCTGAGCTGCTGGACGTGCTCATCCGGAAGCAGTATGAGTGAGAGCGAAAGCAAACTGATGGGGGGTTACTCCCGGGTTTGCGGAATTCAAGCATTTTTCAGGTACGCATGGTCAGGGGTACCTCTTGCCGTTAGGCGAGGGTACTAATGGACATACGTTATCTTTTATTTCATGGCTTCTGATAAGAATTAAACTTCTTGCATTGTTGATGCAAACAGTTGTGACCTAATGTCGTCATGTGGACTTTTCCACAAGGTTTGTTGGACAGCGTTACCCCGATTAATTCGGGGTGGTGGCGGGAATTTAATGCCCGGGATGTCGCGCAACTGCCTTTGTGGGTTTGCTCCACCGCTGACGGCGGTAGTGTCCAGCTGTTTGCGGACGCATGCGAGCAGTTAAATCCTATCAGTAAATGGCACGCTCCACCCGTCATATGACGGGCTCCTCGTGAGGGGGGTGTGATTAGCCATGGTTCATATCATCATCAGGAACGTCGCGTTAGTGACCGACCTGTGGTGTTTTGGCTCAAGTTTTGGGTTCCGTCGCGCCTCGAATGGGCGTCGCCGAACCCCTGCGTCGACCGACGGCATCTCGGGGGAGAAAGAGACCTCGGGCCGCCGCCAGGTTGGTAGGGACCAGTCGTGCGGCCTGTTGTCGACCAAGGTTGCGGGTTAACCCTTTTCTTGTTTGGTTTGTTTCCTTTGGTTGTTGTTCTCTGGTGTGTGGGAAACCCTGATCTTTGGGACCGGGGATTGGTTTGCTTTTGGGGAACCTTTCTTTTGTGGCTTGTTTACCCCAACTTACCCATTGCCTGGGCACAGGCTCGTGCCCGAATCACAGAAACAATGGTAAACTGTTGTTTGTTGGTATTTACAAGGGGGTTGAGTCATCATAGGGTTTCTGAACGATGGTGCGAGTTGGTTTTCGTCCATCTACAGTATGATTTGGAACACCACCTCACAACTGATTGGCGGACATGAATCCCCACCGAATTTTGATGTCCACCAACATGTTCCCGATTCGTTTCTCCGAAAGCCGCAAGGCAGAGCCATGCCACATCACGCGCTTCGCCGCTTCGCTCTGAGGCGGCAACGGGCTGGCTGGTCGCCAAGTGCCAAGCCTGCCCCCCAGATGTGCTCAGCTCTTCAGCTCGGGTTCTGAAATTCTTGGTGCTGGAAACAAAACATCCAAACGGAGAACCGGGAGGAACATACGACATGTATGGCTTACTCTAAAGGGAGAAGCCAAGAAAGGAAACCGACAGTCCCATGTTTTTGGCGTCCCCTCACACGTGCTGAGACCCATCTTGAAAGGCTCATGATGTTGGGGTAGTACAAGGGGGCTCGGAGGGACGCCTTTTACACAGGTCGCAAAACGGGCTCTCGAATCCGCCAGTTGTGTCCCTCGCTTGGCTAAGGCTGTGCTTGGAACACCTTTGTAAATAGGTGGGTGCAGCAAATTCCAACCACGTAAATGATGTCCGGACCACAGGGTCCAACCATATTTTTTCTTTTGGCTCTCGAATGCGTCAAATACGGATTCATTTCTCCAGCTCGAAGGTTTGCGGATGCTGGGTGTGTCTTGTTTCGAGGGTATTATTTTCTGCTGGTTTTAAAGGGAAACCAGAAGGACACCAAAAGGACACCAAAAAGGCACCAAAAGGACAGCAAATGGCCATTTCAGGGATACCCTATGTTGAGAATCTCTTTTGGCTTTTGGGATTCCACGTCTTGCACGAAACTATCGAAAACGTGGACTCAAGAGAGGCCAAGAGCTGTGGGCGCATTTTGAGGCCGTTCTCAAATCCCGACGCTTTCCCTTCAAACCGCAGTTTTTCTTGTCTCAATTTGGGCATGTCCAAGGCTTCCCTTTCGCGTGCTGTTTCTTCGCGGCTTTTGTGGCAGAGGTTTCCAAAGCCCATGTATTCGTTTCTTCATCTTGCGGCGGCTTCCTGCTGAACCAATCTTTGGCCAGTTTCTGCGACAAAAAGGACTGGCCCTGCCAGTTTCTGGGCCACGTCTCAGGAGGACCGCAATGCGGTCTTCGACAACCTCGCGTGCCTGCGGCGTTCTGAGAATGGCTGCAACAAGATCCAGGCTCCGGCAGGGAGGCAGAAAGATGGGGTGCGTAGGCCCGGCAAGCCTCTTTTTGCATTTTGTGTGTGTGTGTTGCGTTTGTTTGCTTGCTTGCTTGTTCGTTTGTTTTTTGTTTGTTTGTCTGCATCTCTGGCTTGGAGTTTTGCGAAATGGTTGGTTGGCTTTGACTTCGGCTTCTGGTTTCAACGTTGCGTCCTTTCAACCAGCGCTCGAAGAAGGGGAGCTCATGCATTTTCGGTCTTTGTCTCCTGCTTACGAGATATCAAAGCCTGGGCTCCAGGTAGTGAGTCCGATTTTCCCAAAGGCAGTCTTGACGTCCTCCCCCAAGCAAGTCAGTTCGTCCGCTGTGTGTCTTCGAGCACTAGTTCTTTTTTAGGATGAATCCTGGATCCATTCTTTTGCCAGATGGTAGTGGTTTCTCTTGTAGCGGATAGCGGGTTGCCTGAAATATACCGGATGGTACTAGTTGTGGTTTTCCTTCTAGGTAGTTTTTCCGTGGTGCCAGTAGCAGTTTCCCTTGCGGATAAGGGATCCCTTCATTAGGGTGTACACCCCCGTCCCATGGTTCACCTTTCCATATGCCAGGAGAAGCACCAGTGCCTGAGCAGCACGGATGCGCGGCCCTACGTGGAAGTGGCTGGCTTCAAGGCGGCCGCTTTTTTTTTGGCTGGGTGTCGTGGGCTTTTGCCGGCGGCTGGAAGCGGAGAAAGGGAAAAGCGCCTCATTGTTCATTCAGTTTGAACGGGAAGCCCGCTATGAAGTAAGCGCAAGGCCTCCCGGAATCTTTCTGGGAATGCGGCAAGAAGGGGGCAAGCCAACGTTTTTGTTGGTTGCAGAAAGGCGGCGCTTGCGTGTTTGTCGTAGCCATTTTGGCTCAAGGCTGTGATCCTATTGCTGCAAAAGGAGATCGCATCATGCTACTTGCGCAGCCAGTCACTGTATTCGTCTCTGTGGTCTTGGCCTATGGTTGTATGCCGCAGTTCCCGCACTATGTTGAGCAAGCATCAGTGGGGTGAAGGATGAGCCACAGAAGCAGAGGCTTACCAAAGCTTTCATACAGAATGTTCGCTGGTGTGCGACTCTCGGAAAAATATATGTTGAGACCGCTGGAATTTAGAATCTGCTGGCAGTTTGATTGGACGCTGGTCGTAGTGTTCGGGATCGCTCAAAAGGTTGCTTCTTGCAGCTCTTCGTATGCCGCCACCACGTCCTTGTCGTTGCTGACTGTCTGAAGACTCGCAGAGGCCTTGGTCTTGGCATTGGACATGCGGTTCGCCAAGCCCTCCGGCAAGAGTTCGGCGCTCAAATCCTTCTGAAGCCAGGGACCAGTGAAGCTGTGTCCTGGGACTGTTGGGACTCCTGAAAAATCGCTTGCACTATCCGAGGTATGCAAATACTCAAGGCAAACTCCACAAGAGTAGCAACAATGCCGAACAAGTCGTCATGTCCTCCAGCAACGAAGCACCTCCTCGCAAGCATCCAACTGTCAAGCCAGGCGCATCCAAGCATAATCTTACCGGGAAAGTTGAGCCCACTGACGTGGCGTCATCACCCCAGGAGGTTGCACGCATGACAGCCTCGTGCGTGACATTCGTACAAGTTATGAAAAACGCATAGCTACACACGCTGCGCTTTACGTCAGCGGCCATAGCGGCACTCATGGAAACCTTGTACCAGCGCTCAGGGCAATGAACTCATGACCTTCTGGAGGTTCACTTGCACACAAGTCACTCTGGGCAGCGTGGGCCTCACTATCAACCTGAAACGCTTTGTTTGGCCACCTGGACTGGAGCACTTCGTGGAGGAATGGGCCCAGCGCCACCAAAAACAGCTGGGGCCGCTGATGCTGAGACTGCTGGGCGAGTCCCGGAAATATTTGAAGGCCAAGAGCGTGACGGTGAGCTCAGTTGGCAAGGACTTTTTTGCGCTACATCTCATTGACTTTGAGAAGGTCGGGCGATCAAGGGCGCCTGACCTTCGCGCCGTGGAGGAGCGAGGCGCGAATGCCGGCCATAAGCCCAAGCACCAGTGAGGCACAAAAAACTAATATGCAGGCATGTGCATGAGCTTCATGCATTTGCTCGTCATTCGTGTCACTGTTGTGCCCACCAGCAGCTGAAGGCTGTGGCATCGTGAGTCAGCCGCTTGATGAGGCGGTCCTTCTTTTGATCTCTAGAACTTCGCAGGAAAGGAACAAATGGGGGTTGATGAATTTTCCTTTCGCCCCCAAATGAGCATGGGCAATTTTTCCAATCTTGTTAGCTGCGTCCCCGATGGTCCTCCTATGCAAAGGACTCTTTGAATTTGATCAACCCCCAAATAGGTCTGCTTTGGAATGTTCAACCCAACACTAATCCCAAACCACCGGGCTCAATGAATTGAGTGCTCGGAGATTTTCGGTTTGAGGAAACCTGCTCCGATTTTCCGAGGGCTGAATTGAGGCCAAGGAAGTTCTACGATTTCGACTCCTCTCAAATGCTCCGGATCGAATAGAGATCCGCGGCTCCGGATCAGGCACGCGACCAGCCCTGCGTGTGGTGCGGCGGGGGGCGGGGGTGCCCCAGACAGCTGGGCCAAAGCTGGGTGTGTCTGGTTTTAGGTTTCCGCCCCCCCCCCAAAAAAAAATATATATATATATATATCAAAATCACAACGCATAGGTTTTTTTCTTTGCCTGGAATCCCAAAGGCCTTGAAATCTCCTCTCGGGGAGTGCCGTTGGGTTCCATGTTCATCATGCATTTGCAGGCGAAGTCCTTAATTGAAACTTCAGCCCGCAAACCCAAGCAGACACCAAGGTTATGCACGGGCATTTCAACTTGTTTCCTACTTGCTTCATATTCAGGCACTCCACCTGGGTTTCGCTGGGGACATACTCCGTGGCAAATCCATTGCCACGTGTGCACACATGGGACCTTTAAAACACGCATTTCGGGAGGAATCCCATTCTTTGGCCACCGCATTTTGAACTGCATGTCAATCTTCAAGGCAGTACCACAGTAGCACCAAATGTTCTATGGCATGCCTTTGTTAAAATCTTTGGTTTCCACATCTCTTGTTGAAATCCGCCCCAACATATTGGCTTCACGGTCAACTCCCAATGAACTTACACACGGGTCCCACTTAACCCACATTTCGGAGGATATGCCACTCCAACAACGCCAACCTTTGCGAGCCCTACGACTTTGTCATGAACGGCGCAGGCTGGGAGCTTCAGGTTTTGTCGCAATGCGCTGCGGGGCTTCATGGCACAGGATGGGGGCTTGGAACAACGGCTTCATGTTGATTCATGCGGGCTCGCAAAAATGACGGCCCGTGCCCTTTTTGGTTCCCGGCCCGCGAGACGCCGCTTAAGATGGCCCGATTGGCAAAGCCACAGCCGCGGCCATTCCGATCGCAACTGGTGTGCCGAGGCCAGGCGTTTAGCTACAACTTGGGGTATAACACCTACATGGTGGCCGAGTGTCAGGCCGGGCCACGTCTGGATTTCCGGAAGTCCGGAATTCCAGCAACGAGCAACGAGCTCCAAACGGATCGCACGCACGCATGCGAGCCACAGGGCATGGGCAGAAGCTGACTGCACATTTTGGCAGCCATTCCCATGTTGTGATAACATGCTAGAGGTATCAAGGGGACGGCAGTGCAAGCTCAAACAATAGATGAAAGCAATGGTTTTTCAACCGTCTATGAAAGCCAACTGCCAGGGCAGATTGGAGACGAACCACGGTGCAAAGGCGGTTTCTCCACTCGTGAACCTCGAAGTTTGCACAGGTTGCTTTGGCGGGGTTGCAGAGCCACCACTCCCTGCGCTGCTTGCGCGGAAAGGCAGCTTTCCTTGTTGCTGGTGGAATCCCGAGGAATCTGTACATGAGTCAGGAGGTCGTTCGTGACTCACTTGGACGCCTCTTCTTGGATTGTTGGCTTCCAGGGCCGGACTCAGGAGTCAGATCCCGACCCCCCCGACCAGCCTTGCGGCTTGCCTTTCCAAAATGTCACTCCCAAAGGACACCCATTGCCCCTTTTGGCCATGGTTCAAAATCAATGCTACCATTTTGGGATAGGTGCACCACCCATTTTTGTCTATTTTAGTGGTTGGATTGGGATGTTCACTGGGGGTACGGCCCATGGCCATTTGTGGCCCCATTTGGGCTCCCAATGCCTGCGCCTGGCGCCTGGCTATGTTCCTTTGAAACGGTTCCGATCGCCGGCACCGTGTGGAGCATTCCAGAAGCTCGTTCGGGTCACCCTTGCGGGTCCTTTTTTTTGCTTCTTCTTCTTCTCGCAAGACACAATCTTTTCTGGTTGCTTTAAAGGGAGACCAAAGGGAGACATGCCATTTTGAGGCGTGTCCCCTACTTTGATCCACACCCATGCTTCTATTGCGCGCAGGGCACGGAGGTGATGCCGATGAGCTACCCCCACGCGGAGCAGGATGCCGGCCTGCCGACCCAGGCTCCCGGCAAGTTTTCTGGCGGTGCAAGCACCCCCCTTGCACCACTTTGATACCATGGGAAGCCATCCATTTGCTGGTACTTGCAGGGGAATGATCATTCCAGGGTCTCTTGGTGCAGGATTTCGTCCATCCACAGTAGCACCTGTGGAAGATCGATTTCCCCTTGTCAGGTGCCATGTTAGTGGGTGGGAGGGTACCTTGAAAAAAGGAGCCCCCCAATTTGATCCACGTTTCAAATCTTTGAGCCACTTTTGAACATGATCCCGACGGCAAAACGTGGATCACTTGTCAGTTGGACCAGTCCCAGCCGGCAGGTTTTGGGAAGACTCAGCCAATGCACAAAGAGTTTTGGTCAGGGAACACCGATCTGATTGTGTCTTGAAATATAAGGGACCCCGCAAACAGGGTCTGTCTTCTTTTCAGACCTGCAAACCTGTGGCTTTCCTTTTGGTTTCCTTTGAGCATTACCAACAACGGGGTACCTTCAACCACCAAAATGGGCGCAGCTCCAGGTTCGCTGTACCGGTGCGACTTCCACCTGGAATGGAGTGGGCCAGGGCCCCAGTTCGAGTGGCGTGATGTTCGATGTTCGAACTGTGCAAGCACCGGGCCTTGAAGCCGCCGGGGTGCCGGTGGCGATGAATGTTAAGAGTTGCCCACGTATCCAAAATTGCTTGGTGGAAATATGATATTAAATGGTGTCCACCGTTTCGTGTCCCTAATTGAAGTTCCCACGCACATATTGATTTCCGTTTGGGACTGCATTCAGGTGTTTCCTGTCCAGGGACAAGCAAATGTCACTTTTTTTTTTTGCTTCCCTCTGATTTAGTTTAGAGGATCCCTTGCAACTCTGGTGGCTTTTGGCTTGCAACAATCATGGAACTGGGCAGGCGGCGTCGCCTAAAGGATGGTCCAAAACTCTCCTGTCAGCTTCTGTGATTGAATGGAAGGTGGGTTTGTCGGGACTGGCAACATGGCTGGTTTTCCTTTCAATCCAAGCAAGGGTTTTTCCTTTTACCAATCCAACGAACGAAGGGCAACAAGGTAACGACTCCAAACAACATCGACACCCCCAATTATAGGAGTGCGTTCGCATCCAAGGCAAGGTCTGCGGGGACTGCTCTGTGACGGTGCCCAACATTTACGCCCCTTGGGTCACAGCACGATGCAGCATGCGAGAAACTCTGCCATGAAGTGTGTTTGAGTTTGGGGGGGAGGCAGGGGGTCGGATGACCGTGTATGAGTTGTAAGGAGCCATTTTTATTGCGACATTTGTCAATAACCACCCTTTGGGGTCCTCAATGGAAATTCCTCTATGCGATGTTTTCCCTTACCATCCGACGCCCCCTCAAGCGGTTTAACGAAGTCAAACTCGTGAGTCGGAATGAAGGGTACTCGAAAAGCGCGGGCCTTGCGCGTGTTTCCGATGGCAAGGGCATAGTCAGCCCCGAAATGATTGAACAGCAGAAAGTCAGTCTGAATAGCCATGCATGTCAAGGGGGATAGCTACAATAGAATGCATGGAACAAAAACCGGATGCTTGAACAGTGCCCCAACAAGTTCCATAAACAATCAGCAGGTCCACCCGATTTTCCCATGTGACCGTTGCAAGCTGATTTGTAGCGCGCTGAATATCGACGGCTCGTGTCTAGACCAAGGTGAGCTTCCGGAGCTGTGGTGAGTACTGCGCCGCGCAGGGCGGGGGAGGGGGGGGGGGGTTGGGGTGGGGGATGTTGGGTTTGGTGAGTTTTCCGCTTGGGGGATGTTGGATATTGGAAGTTGGGTTGGCTTGGTCAAGGTTGAACTGTGACTGGGAGGGGAACAGCCGCTGAGAGGCATGAGAAAACCTCCGATCCAAAAACTGCGGCTGTTGCAGCCTGCGAAGCCAACTTTCGGATTTGAGAAGGAAGCCGACTTTCGTAAGACGCAAAGGAGCTGCAAAAGGGAAGCATCGCGGACGCTTTGGCTCCGCTTGGGCTCAAGCTGCGGTCCGCGCAAGAAGGGCGTCCGAGTCCGGAAAGATTTCGGCTTGTGGGTCGGCCTTTCGGATGCAGAGTTCCCTTTAGGTGGGCAAGTGAAGGGGATGACTTCACAAGTTCTTTCCCCCATTTCCCCCCTTCTTTTTTCTGTTTTCTCCCCAACGTGGCGTTTTTTTTTCTTTCCCCCTTTTGTTTCGCCATCGCAGGCGGGCTGCGGTGCCTCAGCGCGAAGAAGGCCTTCACCCACAGCTGCGAAGTGCAGAGCCAGTGACCCGAGCCCGTCTTTTGGGGGTGGGGGGGGTTGAGGGGGGAGTTGGAGGGGTTGGAGGGGTGGGGGGGAGGTTGGAGGGATGGGAGTCCTTTGTTGGTTACTTAGGGGTCTTGGGGGTTCTGGGTCTTTTGTTCACGGATGCCAGGTATAGCATGACCTGCGACTCCACTTTTGAGCAGGGCGAGTTCGGGCGTTGCGAGTGCGGCAGCGGACAGGCGCGGGATCGGGTCCTTTGGCGTGCCTTTTCCACACCTACGAAAGGCAATGGACCTTTTGCTCAGGGAGGGGAAGAGTAACCAAGGGTAAAAGGTGTGTGACCTTTTTTTGCCGAAAGCGCCGAAAAGGCCAAGCTCGGCCACTTCTTTCATAGGATGACTGAACCCTGTGTATGGCCGAGGTGGATGGCTGAGCATATCGATTCAAGCAAGGGTTACGCCCAGGGCCTGCATGGTTGTGGGAAACAGGGTGTTAGGGCCGTGTTCTGTGATACAAAGACACCCCCCTTTAACATGATGAAGCAGGTCAGGGGGACCCACTTTGGCATCACAGATGTCGGGCGATATTCCACTTGCCAAGTCTCCCGCGCTTTTCTCTTCCGGCGAAGCGAGTCGCGAGGCTTCGGCGGAGATGGTGACAAGGGCAGCCAGGCTGCCACAAATGCCGCCGGAGCCTCGGATGTGGCGTGCCCTTGGCGGCCTCTGCTTGCATCCGCCTGCCAAATGTTAGTCATGTTATCATGATATTATATCTTTGTTAGCATTGTGATTATTATGTGGTTACTACGACTGTTGTTATTCTTAATTATGTCCATCACCAAGACGTGTGATTGTTATTGCGATTGTTTGTGCCTATTACTGCTACTGCAGATTCAACCTCAGGTTACTCAGCGAGCCACTTACTGAGTGGATCTGTCAACAGGGTTCTTCCCCCACAACCAGCAGGGTTGGCTGCACAATTTCTTGAAACAACCATCCCCTAGTCCGCTTTAAAGGGACCCAAAGGAAGTTGTTTAAACGATAATGAGGACTAATAAACCCTGTAGCGGCTTAAACCCATTTCAGCAAGGCATTAAACGCCCAACCTCGCAAGCACTCCTAGTAGCCAAAGCGCCGAAATCCCTTTCGACTTGGAAGCCTTTGCCTTGCTCCTTGGCGCAAGGAGCGCTCGGTTGGAAGCAAAGAGAGCAGGCCAGTGAAACAAGCTGAGGGTTTCCGGAGGAGCGAGCCCGGTCTTGGTTTTGCAGCTGGTTGCCTTAAAGCATCCATCTGCAGCAATTCCACTGGCGCAAACTCCAAAAATCGCCGCACGCACTCAGACAGCGGCAGATTCGACCGGCCACCTCGGTCCCTCGGTCCCTCGGTACCTCAAGGTATGCCCAGTGCGGGGGCCAGCAGTGGACGGGCCTCACGAAGTGCCAGTCGGGCAGCAGCTGCCTGGCCGGGCGGCCCAGTGCCAGTTCAGAGGTTTTTTGGAGCTGCCCTCTTCTCGGCACCCGAATTTTGGTTGGACCCCCAACGCAACGGCCCAAGCACCAGCTGTTCTTTTTCTTCTTTTTCTTTGAGCCCCCAACAAAAGAAAGCCCAAGCGGCCGCTTGATGTTTTTTTTTTGACCCCAAAAGCTCAAGCTCGGAGGGTTTCGGAGAAGGGGCGCCGGCAAGAGGCTGAGCCAAAAAAAAAACCCTGACTCCAAGAGCTCAAGCAAGGTTTTAAAGAAGGAGGGTTTTGACCCAACTGAGCGTCTTCTGAGATGGAAGTTCCTCCCGAGGTGATCAACAGCTGGTACAGCCAGTGCCTGCCGGGAGTGCCTCGATTGCAGGGGGAAGGTGGCGGAATGTGTGGGGCTCGTCTTTTTTTTTTTTTTTTGGGGGGGGGTACTTGCTTTTGAGGGGTTTTGAAAGGGACAACAGGAGAGCTAAAAAAATGAGGTCTGCCCAACAAAAGGGCACACCCATTTGGGTGTGAAGTTTTTAATCCTGAAATGGTGGGCATCAGAATTCGGGGCCACTTTTGATTCGGAGCCATATGACTGACTGTGAGTTTTTGGATGGGGGGGGGAATGCCCATCCACATTGGCAGACGGAAACACCGTGGTTCATTTGTTCACTGTCGCGTCCCCCAATACAAAATCAGACCCATATAGGCTCGATTTCTTCCACAGACAGCATGCTGGGCATGCTGACTCTTTGGGCGACCAAATCTGAGCCGATGAAATGCATCCCAGGAGCATAGGTGTCCCAGGTCAGTTTGGTTGACAATAGCTGGCAACGGATTTTGTTTGGTTCCAATCAGTTGCTGGTGCCATCTATTTGTCCAAAATGGAATTCTAGGATTTTGAATAGGACTTGAACACTTAGGACCCCAACGCCCAAGTGTCCGCCTGGGGGGAAGCGGGGAAGGGGGGAAGGGGGGAAGGGGAAAGGGGGGAAGGGGGGAAGGGGGGAAAGGGGGAAGGCGTGAAGGGGGGAAGGGGGGAAGGGGCCATTGGCTGGGGCCGAGTTGCCAAACTGCTTTTTGTTACTCGGTGGATTTGGAGGCTGGCTGCGTAGATCAGCCAGCGGCCGAAAACAAAAGCAAGTGTTTCTCAAATCATGGTCAAAACTGGCAACGGTTTCCTGGTTTGAATGCCAAAAGAGGCCCCGCTTGAGTTTGGTTTCCTTTTGGTTTCCCTCTAAAACTCAAAAAAAGAAGGGATTCCCTCAACCAAACTCCCCAACCAAACACGACGATGGCGCCTGCGGGTCCCCGCTCTCCGCAGGCGCAGTCCAACCCCGACCAGGCGGCGCAGGCCGCCAAGAACGCGGCGCAGGCGCGCCGGCTGAGGGCTGAGGGTTGGTCTCAACATGGGGAGTTCGTTTTTTTTGAGGTGACCAAAAGGGGTTGTTTTTGGGTGACCAACGTCCCTTCCTTGGTTTTTTTGGCGGGTTGTTGGGCGAAAGGTTTTTTTTGGGAAGCTTCACGAGAAAATCAAATGGGAATCCAAGCTAATGGCGAACCACCTTTTGCTCCCTCCCCATCTTGGATCTCCTTTTGGGAGATTTCGTGATGGTTTCGCCCATCATGGTTTCAGAAGGGCGGCAAGCGCCTTGAGATCCTTTTTGAGTATAGATATTTGCAAGACCACTACATGCGCCTTCCCAACAAGAGAGGTAATTTCGCACGCCGCACGACTTGTTGCCTTCAAACTGCTGATAGACACGATCTTAACAACAATCACTGCAATCGGAAGCTGCTGCCTGCAGCATACTGTTCGCGAAGTCTGTCAAGCACCAAAGGTTTTTGCCAAAGCGGCTGCCTGGAAGCTATGTTTCGAGCCACCTTGAAAGGGGGGTCCAAACAAAAATCATCAGGACACGTCCACAGGGCTCAAGCGTCCTTCCGTCTGCTGGGTCCCTTAAAAGGGTTGCAGGTTGAGGTGTCAACTCTTCTTTTGGGATCCGACGTTGGCGGTGCGGCACACTCCGCGATCCAGATACCCATAGTAGGGGGACGCATGGCACACTCAGGGGATGCAGTTTCCCCAATGTAGCAGCTACTTGTAGGTTATCGCTACCAAGTTCCAGGTGTCACATGCGAGTTCCTCTTGATAACCGTTATCAAGAGGAACTCGCATGTGACACCTGGAACTTGGTAGCCCTTTTTAGCATAGAGGTAAAACCAGAGGGTTTTGTTCCCTGGAGGTAGGATGTTAAACACCCATTTGCGAATGCACTCCGGGCGGGCGCTCCGCTTTCAGCGACCTGTACCTGCCATTGTAGCGGAACGCGGCTGGACAAGTCCATGCTGGCACGGGTTGCAGCGGGTGGTCCAAAAGCTTGGAGTTGCAGCATGCTTGAAGATGTTGCTCACGAGGCTACCCTGCTGAAAAGCTGGCATCCAAACAAGACTGACACAGGGCGCAGCTGTTGTCAGCCAGCCAGGAAAACAATGTACACTTGCTGCCAAGCGATTGCTCATGCACAACAACTGCAGCCTCCATCTTCTTTTTTTTTCTTATGTTTTTTTCTTTAAATAAGAAACACCACCTCTGGTTGTCACCTGTATCCTGGAAATGGATACCTCTATCCCGGTAAGACCACCTTTGTCCGGAAGAAAAAACCATCTTTCTACGTGAAGCGCCCAAGCACCAGGGGACGAGGTGAAAGTTAGGAATCCCTGGGGCGCGTAAAACTGGAGGCGGCGGGCATGGACCTGGAGGACCAGGCGAAGGCGGCTGGGGAGGCGGCCACCAAGGCGGCCGCCAGTGCGGGGCAGCAGGCGCAGGGCCAGGCGGGGTGGGGTGGGTGGGGTGGAGTGGGTCAAACCTAGGTGAACTAGAGTAAAATAACCTGAGATAGATGTCTGGGATGGTGCTGGGTCCATTTTCCATTTCGATTGTGGCATGCTTCAAATGAGCCAAGCGTGGTTGGGGGGGTGCGACTGAATGGCATGTATCCCTACTTTTGAAGGGGGGTGCACAGGTGGTGAAGCCCCATCCGCGAAGCTTTTGCAAGTAGGCAACAACAGGTGAGGGGCACATCGCTAGTTTTTTTCAACTTTTTGCGCTTCGAGGATGGTTCACATGCAAGGTTTGGGTACATGGGGATTGACCAATACTCCTGGCCCCAGAATGACCATGGGTAACTTTTCCGATTTAGTGGTGAGCGTCATTTGTTTTGGTAGATTCCTAATGGTCGTGCCACGTAAAGGACCTTTCGATCAACCCCCACATCAGGGAAGGGTGGTAGGTTTTGTGAATTGAGCAAGCCAACAGTAGCCTTAGAAACATGAATTTCCGACTTGGCCCTGTTTGCTAGAGCCGGTTTAGCAACAGGACGAGGAAGCAGAACAGCAAGGTCGATGTGCCCTTTGGCAAATCTGAGGCCAGAATCAGCCTTGCAAGCTTTAAGTCACAGTAGCTGCTCCAGGTGGGAGGTCTTCTGGGTCTGCCCATTCTGATGTTAAGTCAGAGAGTCCAGTGGAAAATCCGATTGTCACTCGCCACCAGGAAAACCCACCCCCACCGAAAAGGCCCAGCGATGCTTGCCGGCCTCAGGCGACTCGCGCCTATGTGGCAGCCGCCGGCACCGCGGCCATCTCGGGCCTGCCCACGCCCAAGGCGCGGGCTCCGCGCTTGGCGCTTCGCAGGTCGCGAAAAGCGCCGAAGACGCGGAGGTCCGGCTTTTCTTGTGTTTCTTTTTAGGGGTCCATGGAAGTGACATCCTCAAAATTGCCCTCGAAGTTTTGTTTTTTGGCTCGTGGTTGTTCAAGTTCAATCCTTATTCAGTATTCGTGATGGTAGTGCTGTTCCTTGTGTCTTTTTCAAAGCAAATTCTGTTTTGTTTTGTTTTTTGACTTCTCTCAGTGCATGGGCGCAGTGATACAGGTTCCTGTGTGGAAGCTTAGCCGACAGTTCAAAGTGACCCCAGGCTTTTGTTACATCACCTCTGATTGCACCTGACGACCCCTTGTTGAAGGGAAGTCTTTTCAGGTTTGGTATCTTTAGAGTCCCTTCCTTACCTATAGGGTTGGTAACCTCCCTCCCACATAGCACTTCTAGGAGGGCACCTGGAAGATGATTTCTCTTTGGGGGTACCCCTTGTCAGTTGCCATGTTGGGGAGGGAGGGTGAGCTCTGAATGGAAGGCGGGCCACTGTCGCACCGGTGCGGCAGGATGTGGCCACCACAGCTGTCCCAAAGGGACGGCACACGCAAAATTGGACGCCGGTTGTTTGCTACTCTTCACAACTGACTTAAACAATTGGAATCCCAGAATCCCCAGAATGGCACCTTGGAGAATAGAAAAGACCAGCGCCTGCGGGTTGCCCTGGCTCAAACTCATGTTGAGCCCTACCCAAGGGCGAACTGGGCGAAGTGGAATCCATGGCCAGGCCAGCGGCATCGGAGAGCAGGCCGCGCAAGATGCCGCGGCGCAGGCTGGCCTCTCTGGCGACGAGGCGGGGGCCTACTGGTGACTGCTGGTGCCCGCAGATTTGAATGTGTGGGCTGCCGCCCCTCCCATCCCACATCCTCGCTTCAAGCCCGCCTTAAAGCCCCCCCTCAAGCCCCCTTCAAGCCCTGGTGGTGCTGGTTGTGTTGACGGTTTCAACCCTGTTTGTTTCCACGTTTCATTGCCCACCGCTGCTTTTTTGCGATTCAAGCCCGGAGGCAGCCAAGACGACCGAGGAGGCCATGGATTCCATGGATGCGACGCTTTCCCCGCCGCGGGCGAGAGGTCTTCGAAAATTTGGTAAAAGCCAAACAAATTTGAAGATTTTTAGGCCGGTCATCTGAGGTGGGTGAGGAACACACACAATGACCTGTGTGGTTGAGGGCCTTCAGCAGGGGGCCGGTTTTTGGCAAGTTCCGTGCCCTTTTGATTCTTTATGGGGGTTTTGAGGGTAGACTCCCTTAACACCAAATTTCAAGTCAGCTCGGTTGATTCTGAGTGTGCTTTGTCCATGGCTGGTGTGTTTGCTGCGCCCTTTGCAGGCAGTCAAGCAGGGCAAGGCGTGGGCTGGTGGTGGGGGAAGGGGTTTCGAAACCCGTGAGAGTTGCTTTGGGTTTCAAGGGGGAATAGGGGAATCACAATGAAGAACTGGTGATGCCCTAGGCTTTGTGCGTTTGAAGTGGAGTGCGCCACGCCACCCCCCAGTCGGCTTGCAGAGGCCGGGGCTATCTTTGACGCTTCCAAACTATTTACGCAGTATCTTTTTTCATTCCCCTTACCCTTTCCAAATTTGTTGGAAGTTCAATTTTTCTCCGAACGGCACCATGTGAGTTAGTCGATTCCATCTTGGTTGTTGGGTGCACTCGACGTGAAGGCTCGGGCATTTCCACCGAGTGTTGCTCGCAGGTCATCGTCTTCGGCGATGAGTGGTGGCCCCCAGCCGCTCCCATGCCGAATCTGCTTGCTTGGGGCTCTGGGAACCAAGGACTGAGAACCCCCTAGGTCCCCCAGTGGTGCCCTTTTACCGTTTCTTTTTTTGGGGAGGGTTTGCCTACTAAAATAGATTAGAGAAAAAAGTTGGTACCCTTTTTCTAAGCTCTCTACTGGAGGACCTAGCCATAGTTGATGAAGCGGGGCTCCCTGAGTATCTGGCCGATGAAGTGACAAGGGATGGTCATCTACCCTGGAGGGATCTTGAAACAATTGCAGCATAGACCCCCGAGAGCGAGAAAAATGCACCACCCCAAACTGCATGCCCCCGCACCCCGAACAGCACCCTGCCGTCAATCTCGCAAGAATGGGCCCGCACCATCACGAGCACCTCAAGCAGCATCACCCAAAACTGCACCTGCCAAACTGCATGCCCTCTCGCACCCGGCCACCAATCTCGCAAGAATGCGCCCGCACCGCCACCAGCAGCTCAAACAACACCCACCCGCACCACCCCAAACTGCATGCTCCCTAGCACCAGGCATCAATCTTGCAACACCGCGAGCAGCAACCCAAAGCAGCACCTCCCGCACCAGCACCTCACATTGCATGCCCCGTAACACCCAGCCGTCAACTATGAGGGGAATCAAGGGCTTAAAAATCCTTGCATTCCCCCCCGCCCCCCCCCCCCCCCCCCCCTCATCTCTCGATCCCCCTGGACGACCCAAAAAACTGAACTGCCCCTTTCTCCACTACCCCCCCCCTTCTCCCAACGAAGAAAAATATTAACCTACCAACAAGACATGGACCCCGCAAAATGCGCATCCCCTCCCACCCCCTCCCCCCTCCCCCCAAAATGCCCTTCCTCCTTTTGGACGGCGCTGGATTGATCGATGGATCGCGAGGCAGACCTCGGAGGGCGCGGAGATCGCCGGCACCGCGGCGGCCAACCACGCCAAGGCGCGGTTGGACTGTTGGGCGGGGGAGCCTCATACGGTGTGGGAGTTGTTGAGGGGGGGTGGGGTTCGGGGGTTTTTCCAGGCTTTTTTTCCAGGAGTTGGGGGTTTGGCAGGTTCTTTTCGGGTTTTGGCTTTTTTGTCGGTTTGCGGTTTTTTAGGGCAGTTTTCACAGCTCATTTTTTTGAGGGTACTCATTTCTGTGTTGTTAAGAGAAGCCCAAAGACATGCTCTTGGGTTTCAAGGACCTCAGTGAGAGAAGGGGGAGGGTCCCTTTCAAAGGAAACTTGGCAAAGTGGACGGGAGGGTAAGGGATTTAGGTAGGCTTCAAGGGCCGCGAGTGAGAGAGGAGCAGTTGATTTGTTCAGGTTTCAGTTCACATCTTAGCGATGGATGCAGGTTTCAAGGATCTGAAGGATCCCACTGATCCTGGAAGGATCTGAGAGGGGAAGCCCAAGACGTTCCGCAACGAGGCTAGACTTGTCTTTCCGGAGCGGACCTATGCTTTGAAGAGGAGCCCAAAGGAAACCACTCGTTCAGCGAAACCAAAAAACAAACTGCGGGGGGTTCGAGGCGGGTACCATTTTTTACACAACGAGCCAATGCGTTCGTTTGATATCTCGTTGAAAGCCGACACTTTGGGCATGTGACACGTTAAGCCTCGGGCTTGCAAGGACATCGGCAAGACGGCGGAGGAGTCTCTCGTTTTTTTCCTGCATGGGCCCGGAGTGTTCAACCACATTTCCCTCGCAAATGATTCGAGCCAGAACCTGACTTGAGGCCGCTGGTTTGGTCACATGGGCTTGTAGGGGTGATTCTCAATACGGGAACCTCCGAAGGGTTGCCTTTGGCTCCCATAAGCACCTTGCACCTGCCCCCAAGTTGTACAGTGGCACCCTCCTTCCCGCTGGTGGGTTCCCCTTTAAAAAGCCGCAAAAAGACGATTCGCGGATCTTCTCGACAGGGAGTGGCTTCTTTTGGCACCAGGTGCAAACGTGGATCCGCCTCTCGACTTTCCGGAAGTTCTTCCGATTCTTTCGCTCGCCAAGTCTCTTGCGTGTTTGGGACCAGGCAAACCTTAGGGGTATAAGTCGCAAAACGCCTGGCCGAGGGAAAGACCTCGTGCCTCCCGGCTATAGCAAGCATCCAGCCGTGCCCCAAGCTCGCCAAAGAAAAACAACGCGAGGAGCAGTGCGTCAAGGCCTACGGGGCCGCGGCCACCTTTGCAGAGGCGCGATGGGCGCGACTCGTCCGGAAGGAATTCAGGATCTGTGCAAGGAAGCCAAGCAATCCTCAGGCTCCGAAAAAAAGAAGAGCGGTGTCCCTCGCACCTCGTAGATACTGTCCGATTCCACGATGTGCCTCCGGCTTTTCCCAGTAACACCACCGTGAGAAAGGGGCGAAGCCACCAACACTACTGCACATATGGAGATTGCACCATCGCAAACCCGCAAATCTGAACCGTCTCCACCCAAAATGGAAGTCCAGTGCACGGAGACTCTTCATATTCGGAGTTGCACCCTTCTTTGGAGTTGGCCTATGGCACGCCAGAGGTGAACCGGAGGATTCCAAACCAGTCGGCTTTGTGCCCCTTGCTCCGCTTGAGGGAGCTCGGCTCAGCTTGTGTCGAAATAGAAACCGGACCCCCCCCAGAATCGCTGCTGTCTTTTGGTTCCCTTTTAAACCCGTCCAAGAAACGACCGCCCATAGCACCGCCCCATAGCACCGCCCCCCTGAGGGCCCGGCCCCTCCGCTCGCTCGTTCGCGCGCGTGTTCGATCGTGTTCGGTGCAGGTCTCGGGGAAGTCCCTGGAGCAGAAGGCGCAGCTGGCCGCCGGGGTGGCGGCGAGGGCCGCGCAGCGCGCCGGCCTGGCCGGCGAGGCCCAGGTGCGCTGCGTGGTGGCGGCGGCCCAGGCGCCGCGAGCGGGGTGAGTGGTGGGGGGGGGGGGGGGAGGGCGACGAAACGCGGAGGCCGAGAGAGATTTTTTCGCAAAAGTGGTGGGGGACGAGCTGTTTGCATAGGTGTCCTTTTTGGTTGCTGTTGTCGAAACATAGATGGCCTGGTTTGCCTGGTGGTTTCATCATCTACCAGGGCCATCTATTTCCCCTAAACGGACACCTATGGTTGTTCGGGGCGTGGCTCTTTTTTTCTTTTGGGACGGACAGCTCCTAACTTGACCCCACATCCAGCAGCTAACTCAGGGGTTTTTGACCAGGCACCCAGCACCAAGCCCCAGCCGAACCTCAAATACAACACAACCAAGGACAGCCCACAAACTTGCAGCACAACAACTGAAGGGCGATTCTGCAAGCGCACGTCGCGAGTTTGGGTTTAAGGCCACTCCTTCTTGTTTTTACCCTCATGTTGTTCATCTAGAATCTTTGCAGGATATTGTCCGCCACTTGCAGGATTCACTTCCCAATTCTTCCAGTTGCGTTCTTTCCAGAACAAACCATGCAAGCGCCACGCCCGATTTTGACTTCGATGGCTGCGACGCCATCACCCCGAGAATGGCCAGCTCGCTTTTCTCGTTTTTGTCCTTGCGAGGATTCGAATTTCGTCAAGATGCCGCTTTGGTCTCACAGAAAAGGGCCCCTTTTTTTGCCGTTCAGGCGCGCCCTCATTTGAGCCGACCCTCCCAAAGCCCAAACCCCGACCCCCAAGTCCCCCCACCCTCCACACCCTTGGGCCTACGCGCAAGAGTCTTACGCCTTCCCCTTCCCCGGCACCACACCCATCTGAAATATGTATTGAGAAGGCGTAGGAGTGTATGAGCCATCTTCCTCTCCCAACCCCCCTCTTTCGCCCACACCCTCCACCCAACGCTCAGGAGAACTCCAAGGCGCACGGGGAGTTCGCGGACGTCACGGCCAACACCATGCACCACGCGGGCGTCGCAGCAGCCACCGAGGCAGGCATCGACCCCACGCAGGCGCCTGGGGCGGGAGGGTCGGATCAAGAGGGGGGGAGGCGACATACTGTGGATGGACAAAATCCGAAACCATTGCTTCTTGGCATTTTTTTTGTTGGTTTCTTAGGTGGTGCAGGATTTCGTCCATCCACAGTAGGTGTTTCTCCAAAGAACTGATCCCCTAAGCTGGTCGGTTTGCTTTTGGGTTTCCCCTCAGATGCCAACCAAGAGGGGTTGAACCAGTTTGAGAAGCACTCACATGGAGGCAGGTACTTGAAAGGGCAGGTTACTTTGGTTGGTAACTGGCTATATAACTTTATGGGGGGATACTTCAGGTAATCAGGTAAATGGTGAGGAAACATGTTTTTGGGACCTGAACGGAGACTTACAACCAGGGCTTTGGGTTCCACTTACAATCATGGCTTGGGGGATACTGTGGTTAGCCACTTTCTAACCTGCTCCGTGTAGAGACACATCGCGAATGTTGGAGCCCAACAGCAACATTTGAGGAACCTGCTTGTTGAACCTCTGAATCTGGGGAGAAACCCCCAGCGCCTTCTGTCCCCACCGGTGACCCCAGATTGCTCAATTCGGGGACTGCAGCTTGCGCAGGTTGCCTTGGTTAAGCCCGATTAGTTTACTTATATCAGGGCCATCTATTTTTCCCAAGGACACCTAACACCTGTGGCGAGCACTGTCGGGACACACACACACACACACACACCTGCGCACCTGCGCACACATCCCACTATTAACCCATCAGTTGACCACCCTACAGGCCTCATACCCGCAAGAAGGAAGTTGTGGACGCTGGTGGACGTTCCGCATCGCTTGCAGGGGATGACCCCTGACCCGCCCCGACACAGGTTGGCGTTTTCGTGGTGCTGTCCGGTACATGCTGACAAGCTGCTTTTTCCCCCATCCCTCTCTCTCTCTCTCTCTCTCTCGCTTTTTTGCGGGTACCCGGGTACCCTTTCAGTATTGAACCCAAAAGTAGAGTAGACCACCCGTTTTTGGGGGACGCATGCCCATCTCCGCACAGGTGGACACCATCGTTTCCGTGAGCATCCAGGAGATCACCCGAGCTTGTTCTTGTCGCGCTTGTCTTGCTAAAAGCCCCCCCCCCCCCCGGCCCCCCTACGCGAGGCACGAAACGTAGGTGCTAGAAGGTTCTTCCCCTGATTGCTTCGGGGAAATGGCGGAAAGACTGCCATTGGTGCACTTACCCTATTCTGGGGTCTGCTCCAACAAACACTGTTCACATGTAGGGTAGGCTAAAGTAGCAAACTGATCAGGACATCTAAGTGTTGTAGCAACCGTCAGGGTGAGTCAGATCAAGCAGGGTCCCATGGATACATTTAACTGGTGGGCTGTTGGGCTGTTGGGCTGTTGGGCTGTTGGGCTGTTTTGTTGGGCTGCTGGGCTGTTGATGGTTTTGTTGGGCTGTTGCTTTTGCTGGGCTGTTGGGCTGTTGCTGTTGGCAGCTGCTCTTTCGAAAGGTCTCACGCCTGAAGTTCAGGCCCGTTTCAGACGGAGTGAGACAGGTCTTTGGGCGAAGGGAGGGTGCCAAAAAGCCCGAGGAGACCGAGCACAGCGGGGCCCAGAAGGTAACGATCCCCCAGGATGTGATCGACAACTGCATGGCGGCCGGCGAGGCCGGGGTCGATCAGAAGGTCCGTGATACGTGGGATGGCCATTTGTTGGGAGACCGCCAAAAAGACGGGAGAAGCAACCCACGGTCATTTGGCCAGCGAACCCCCAGCGAACATCCCAATCCCCACTGAAATAGACTAAAATGGGTGGTGCACCTACCCCAAAATGGTACCATTGGTTTTGACCCACGGTCATTTGAGGGCGCATGGAATATTGATGAACCATACTCATACACTGGGTTTACCCCATGGCTTCAGGATTTGCTCAGCTCCACGTGGAGCTCCGGGAATTCCGGGGAACTTGTTTCTTGAAAAGTAGGAAAGCGGACTTCCCCGCGAACGACGGGTTTTCGTGTGGTGTCCGCTGAAGAACGAGCCGGAAAGGGACACCTGGACTTTTAAGTGACGAACCATGGTCCCTGGATCCTTTCCACATTGTATCCTCGAGGGGTGTTCCCCTCCAGAAGTGATGACTCCCCACTAAACCCAGGAGCACCCCCATATTAATCGGACAGGTTTACTATTCCGGGGTCGACATTGGTAACAGCTCGGTGATGCTCCGCAGACTCATATAGTATGCTTCCACATTTGTATCTTAGTTAGTTAGTTGCCATGCAAGCCGCCAATCTTTAAGATTTCGCAGGACACTTGTTCGCAGTTCCTTCTGAACCACCTAGGAACTGCGTTGCCTCAATTGCCTTCTTCTTAAAGGGGCTTGCCGCTTCCACACCTGAGTCTTTGCAAGCCTTCTCTTTGTGGGTTCCATTTTTCTGGATCCTCAAGTCTTCCCACGCGGATCCCTCCGCCCCCGGCCATATCCCAACTCCACGCGACGCTCGGCTCGCGCCGCGAGGCGGCGGTGGATGGCCCCAGCGCCGCGGCCATGGTGGCCACCATCGCGGGGAAGCTGCGGGGCATGTCGGCGGCGGACACGGCGCGGGCCGCCAGGCGGGGCCCGGGTTCCCATGGGAGGGGGGGAAGGGGGGGGAGGGGGGGAGGGATGCTTGCGGGGTAAGGGGGGGGGGATGCTGGTGGTGGATGTGTGAGCAAGCAGATGCCACGTTTTCGTGCGCGAGTAGCTGCCATGATAGTAGCTACCATGGAGCATGTTTTTTCCCGGTTTGACCACTCCCTCCTTCCTCCCTCCTTCTTCTCTGGGTTTCCGCCGGCCTCTGTGCGCAGGAAGTGCGTCTACGACGCAGCAATCGCCAAGGGCATGACGCCCGAGCAGGCTCATGATGGGCCGCAACCCTTCCCCACCGGGTGGGGATCTGTGTCGGCACTTGAAAAGAGGACACGTGCAGCGTGGTTGCCATTGTCTATCAACCCGCGTCATGGAATTGCACGAGTGCGATGGTCGAAAGTTTTGGAGATCCTTGGGAGAGTAAATAGACGGACCTGGAACTCAGGATTTGGTTCGGAGCCAAGCCTTTCCAACGAAGATATGACAAACAAGGCAAACATTTAACAGGATCAGGTATGAGGAGCCACATTTTGCCGTGCTAACCTCTTTATCTCACAACCTCTTTATCTCATCCAATCTTCACCCTTCATTCCTTATTCTGTTTACCACGGTCCACGGGGATGCAGGCAGGTGAAGAACCCAAGATAAAATATCCAAGAGAGAGGAGACATGACAGTCACAACACCCTACATCCTAAACTTCCGGTCCCTAATGTCACATCGCTTCTGTAGGCTTTGAACCACTTATCCAGGCAGATACTACAATAATGATGAGAGGAATGCTGGAACACGTGTAAAAATGATCGAGCTAGGCTTGGCGGAAGGATACTGATCATGAAACGTTGGACTACAGCCCCAGCTGCAGCGGTCGCGCAACTGAAAAGACGAGTATTATCCAGACACGAGCCGTGCTTGGGTGTCTATTATCAAAGGGAAGAGGCCCTATGTCGGAGCGAATCTCATGAAATAGCTGGAGCGAGAGTGAGGGGGGGCTGAGATCTAATAGTGGACAGAGCGGGGTGGACAATCCTACCAGTAGTCTGTTCATCAACTTTCGGGCCACCCAACCCAATCTCAGGGCTCAAGAGGAGTGAGCTTCAAACAACTCTCTGGCCAACACAGCCCCCATTCCCACCTTATTTTAGGGATTTTTCCGGGTATTCCCTTTAGAGGGTTGTTTTTTGGGTGGTTTTGGGTCGCCATTCCCACCTTGGTTCCCGGTACTGTATTCCCTTTGGGTGGTCTGGGTGGTCTGTGGGGTGGCAGGCCGCTGCGGCGGCAGAGGCGGCCGCCAGCACGGCTCGGAAGCCCGAAGTGGCGGACGTCGCCCGACTTTTTGCTGGCACCTGACATGTTGTGGGTCAAAAATAGGGTAAACCCACATTTTTTGGCCCTGGTAAATCTGGTAAATGGGAAACATGGACCAACACCTGCGGTCATCTGGTGCTTTGATTTTGAACCATGCCCATGTTGGCGTAGGGTACCCTCCCGCAGATGCAACTTGTTAGTGGGAGGAAGGCTAGCCGTTTCTTTTTGATTCGCCTGTTTTTGTGGGGTCCCGACAAATCAACTACCAGCTGCTAAACTGGAGGACGCAAAACAGTTTTTTGTTTTGTTTCTTTTTTTATGGTTGGTGCATGGGAATGTACCCTACAGGTTACAAAGATATATTCACGTGTCCACCATCGGGGCAGGGTCCCCATATTCCCCTCTTTGGTGGTTTGAAACATCAGCTTTTTGGCCTGAAGTGGGATCCCTTGGTAGGTGCGATGTTTTAGAGTTGGACATATAGGGAACCTTGTTGGGCGAAGGTGGACAACACCTTGCCGAGATCCGGTCTGCCGAGATCCGGTCTGTCCAAACGCCGCCTTTCGCGCTTCGTCTCGCAACTTTCAGGGGGTTTCCCCGTGATTTGCACGGACGGCGAGACGGCAACCCAGTGCCTGTGTAAATCTCTATGATATGAGCTTGCGAGTTTGTGAATGTATGTGAACTTATGGCGAAATGTCACGAACTCGAGAAGTGCTGCTTCAGCGATTTTGCATCTCGGCAGACCCTTCATCTTGCCAACAGTTGGGATCTCCTCGACTATGGGGCTGGGGAAATTTGTTCGATCAAAAGGCCCCCCCCAAAGAAAAAGAGAGAGAACCACAAAGTAGAACCAGGACCTGCGATCCTTCCTCCGTCATCCTCCCTCGCAAAGCCCCTTTGTTGGGAGTTCTCTGTGCCCGGCGAACATATATTGGGCTCCATCCGGCGGTTTGTGTTGGGACTCGGGGGCTTCGGATTTCCGAAGTACTACAATTGGCTGTGTTGGTCAAGGTGACCCGCCACAAAATGAACAACTGTGTGCTACTCGGTGGATGAGCATAAGTAGGATGAACATATACTATGCAATCGGCTCAAAAAATCACATTATTTTCCCATGGGTATGACTTGCATTTTTTTTGGTACCCTGGTTCCCCCCCCCATTCTAGTCATCTAGCGGATGAAAATAAGCTGGGTCTCCAAATAGTTGGACACCCGCCCTTTAGATCGAGCTCACCGATGCAGGGGCCGCAAGTTTTATGGCGTAGATATTCCTAAAACACCAGTCCAACCCATTGACGTAAGCATGAGACGCCGACTGTGTCTCCTCCAAGATTGTATATTTCATTTATTGCTGTGTTGGCTAAACATAAAGCAGCTGAACATCTCACTTTCTGCCTACCGGCCCAAGGTGGTTTGGATGCCCCGGTGGTGTTGATGCCCCCGTGGTCTTGAAGGTTCGGTTGGTTGGCCCCCGCTTTTTGGGTGTTCTTTTTTGAGGGTGCTCCTTTTTGGCGGTTTTGAAGGGAAACCAACAGGAGCACCGTTTTGCCATTTTGGGTCCCAGTCCGATTCCTAAACAAAAATGCGACCCGCCAATGCGTGTTTCCGAAAAAATGAGTGATTCCAAAATCACTGCTTTCTGGGGGGGTCCGATTCCTAAAAAAAGACGAGCCACCCTGCCGGATTTCGCCAAGGGAAGCCAATGCTTTGCCCCTGAGGCCGCCAGCGCCGTGATGCGGCCGGCCAACAACAGCCGGCTTCCCCCGCACCCGCTGGAGCGAGCCGGCGCGGAAGCCTGGCTGGGGGGTAGGAGGGTAGGGAAACTTGGGGAGAGAAAGGGGAGGAAAGTTGGTCTTTTCCTTTTTGCGGTTTTTCTTCTTTCCTTTCTTTTTTGTTTTTTCGGGGGGAGGGCTGTGTTTTTGGTTGTGTGTGGATGCTGGGAGTGCTCAAGATCCGCTTGTTTGTATCTTTTCAGGCTGCTGTTTCACCCTTTGTTGTTCATTGCAACTCAGTTGCTGGCATGCACCCCTCACATTTACCTAAGACCTTGGCCGGGAGTCGCACTCCTGTCCTATTCCCAGGCAAGCTGCTGGTTGCTGCTTTTATTACTTGCACGTGTCGCTGATTCGAGTCGGCATTCGCAGATTCGCAGATTCGCCGGCTTGAAATGAAGGGATGAAAGTAGGAATCGCATAACATGTTCATCCCTTCATCTGTTGTGCAGATGGACCCATGGGTTCTAAATCAAAAATTGGATGGGTTTAAATTAGGTCTAGAAATTAGGACCCATGTTCCAGATGGATTCTAAAGCCTGTGGGTCCTAGTTGCTGGCTGAACCCCGGGCGCAGCGCCAGGTGAAGACTGCTGGACTGCTTGCGGCAAGAAGCCCTGGGCCAAGAGCGCCTGCCGCTGGCCGGACGAGTCCGGATGGTTAAACACAAGGGGCCGGACTCGGAAGCAAGAGGTGTGCGTGCTCTGCAGATTGGTTTTCGTTTGTTTTTGGAACGTAATTACAGAACAAATGATCAGCCTCCGCCCCGAATCTCTCGTCAAGCCGACGATGTGTTGATAGTGTTATTTTTGTTGCCTGGCCATTAGTCCTATGCAAAGTATTTTCTGGTACAGCTAACTAAAAGATCCTTATGACACTGAGAACACTTGATATTTATTCGAGGTTGGGTCGAAATGTCCAGTAGCTGCGGCCATGGTGGAACTCGCTAGATTCTCCACAACCACGAGACTCACAATCTTTCCTTCTCCTCTTGGAGCAAGCAAGCTTGACTGTTCAAGATCATCACCGGAAAAGGAAAAAAAAACGAGGCTCCCTATCGGCTTGGAATACCTCCGTTCATTTGTAAAGTGCCACTGGCCTCCCCGGTATTCGCGCTTGGCTTGTGCAGCGCAAGCTGTCAAAAGGGCTGCTCCGGAATCAAGGTCTGGCCTTTGCGCCTTCTGCGGCATCGGCAACGCCTGCTGCCGGAAGCCGCTCGGGCAAAATGACTCGGTAAGACCTGGAACCCGTTCCAAGGAACTTCACAACAAAATGGTAAAGTGAGCTTATGAAAGTCCTGCACAGCGGGCTTCCCTATCCTGGATCCTTGGGTTGTGCAAGGGGTCCCCTTTGCAGCGGCTTCCCTGTAAGGAGTGTGGATTAGGATTGGCCAACCCTCCCATTTTGAGCACAGTCCACGTTGGGAGTTTGGCCAGGGGTTGTAACCGCCACAACGCCCCCGGTGCCTTAACCAGCACCGCAACCATTTTCGGAAGGAAACTGGTTGGTCCAAAACAAACATGGACCTTCTCAGACCGGGACGCGGGGGGAAGGGCCGTTTCAACGTTGGTTTAAAGGGAATCGAACAGGACACCCACCTCTTTTGGGTGGTCTGGAACCAGAAGAACTCCTTCGGGGTCTTTGCGCGCACATCGCGCGTGGAAAGCAGCCTAGGGCCTATTTGGCGCGAACAGTTTAGGTTCCCAAGAGGAACACTTGGAGGGACAGTGGGCGGGGGACCACGCTTTTTGCCAGGGAGCATGGGAGTTGTTGCTATGCGAGGGGCACGGAATGGTGCCAAGAGGAAATTCGGGAAGCCTCAATATGGGCTCCTTTGTCAGCTGAGTCAGCTCTCTTTGGTGAGTCCCAGGTTGAGTTGTGGCAACCCCCCTGAAAGACACCCACGTGCCTTTTTTTGATAGCCCGCCCAAGTGCCCAACATGTTTCGGGGGGCCTCACCTTTGATTCCCCCAAGGACGGGTGCAGCTGGGGAAGGCCAGTCCTTCCACTGAACTTGTGATCAGTTTACTTTTCTTCAAAAGAAAACAACAGCAAGTCCCCCCGGACATTTGCCCTTGACCCTGTACCCAGACTCCAGTTCTCGACTCAGGGACGAGCTCAACCCCACCAAGGAGTGCCGAGATGCTAGCGGCCCCAAGCGGGCCGCGGGTTTCGGCACAGGTGGGTGTGTCCGTTTTTTAGCCCCCCCCCCAAAGAAGAAGAAAGGTGGTCTTGTTGTAAAGACCCCCTGAAGAAAACAAACACCAAAAACAATCAAAGAGGTGGTGTTCCTGTGGGTGTCCCTTTAAAACCATCCAACAAAGGGGTGCCCTCAAACAACAGAGAGAGCCATGTGGATTTCCCCCAGCAAAGAAGCAAGTGGGGATATGTGGATGTTGATGGCAAGCTCACCTTTGAACTGTTTCTTCGGAAAGCCCCTCGAACCACATCCAGTTCCGGGATGTGTGGCGAGCCTTCCTTTGCCATGGGAAGCATTACGCTCGGAAAAGAAGCAACCATGCAAGGGGATTAGGTGTAGAGATTTGGCCAGAACTCTCTCTCGTTGTTGGCGTCGAGCCAACGCCGCGTGTCCAGACTTGCTTTCCCCGCCCTTCGGCTTCGGGCCTTCAGATGGTTTTGCAGGGGAAGCCCAAAAAAGACCAAAGGAACTTTGGGGGAGGGGGGGGGGCACTTTTGGAGAAAAGAAAAGAGCACCAGTGCCCTCGAAGCCCCCGACCTCTTGGGTCGTGCTGAGATCCAAACCTTCCACACCTGGCACCACGAGTGCGTGCAGCCAGTGCACCAACAACAGGCGGGGAATTGGCGGCGGGAGGGCGGGGGTTGGTGATTTGCTTGCTTGTTTGCTTGCTTGTTTGCTTGCTTGTTTGCTTGCTTGTTTGCTTGCTTGTTTGCTTGCTTGTTTGATTGTTTGTTGGTGTGTAGGCGATTTGTGAGCGTTGGGGTACAGGGGGGAACTTGTTTAAGTTGATTGGCCACGAGCCCCTTGAACAGTGAGTTCAGGGGGAGGGATTTAATCAACCACTTTGGCATCAGCGGCAATTTTCGTCACATGGTTTGGGTGGCTTGCCGCTTTTGGAGTGGGCGCCTTTGCAGGGGGCCTGCCCGGTTTTGCCTGGGCCCTTGGACAAAAACGCGCGGAGCACAGGGCGTGGGGACCTGAGGATGTGAACGACGTGGGCCACTCCGTGAAGGAGGCGGTGGAGTATGCGAAGGCCGACGGGGCCCGAAGCTTCGGGGCCCAAGCCGAAAAGCCGAACAGGAGAGCGAGCCCTTCTTGGGTCAGCTTGAGTTGCAGAAGAAACCCCCCCGCTCAGATTTTGGAGTAATGGTTTTAGCTGTTTCTTGGATTTCTGGAGGGTATCAAGGTCAGAAAGCGGGGTTGAGGGGGTGACTTTGGACACTTCCGGGGTTCCCAACATTGGGGCCCCGCGCAAACTCCAAATCCGGCCGAAGAAGCAAACATGAGCAATGGGAAGGTTGCCACCATGGGGTCACAGCATGCAGAGGGAACCCGTGGATGGTCTCTGGCCAGAAAAAGTCACTCACTGGTAGCCTTTGCTGAAGTTAAACCATCCCAAGAAGGCAGTTTGATGTTTCCCTTTTTTGTGCTTTCCGGAGTTGGGTAATCCCGGACTTCCCTCTTGTACTCTCTTCAAGTGCTTGTTGACCTGCACACCAAGCCCCATGCCTGGGGTGTCCTGGAAACCAGCAGGCCATTCTACTGGAAACCAACACACCTGCCTAAGCCAAGAGTTGGCGCTAATTTCCTCTAGAGACTCCCAGGATTCACGGCCAAAACAGCCTTCAGGATTGCAGGGGCCAAGGCGAATCTGGGCAGGCGGCTACAACCGCCCCGTGAATCAATGGTGGGTTCTACCTGGGTTATACTGAGGGCTACATGTTGGTGGATCGCAAGTCAAGAAGTTTTGGGACCATAGCATTGTGAGAATGGGCAGAAAGGAGTTGGCCAACTATACCAAAGGAATCACCCTTTCAGTTCAGAGCGAGAAATTAGTGATGGGCTTGTTCACTTTGGTAACACCTGTTGTCTGCACCCACGTTTGGGACCTGCTGCAAAGGTATGGCCCCAGATGTGGCGATCAGTTTTATTTCTTTACGGGTATGTCTTAAAATTGAGGAGCCCCTAAGTATTGCGGAGCCTTGCTTCATTTACATTTCCCCTCGACCCTAAACAGACCCTCCCGAAGAGCACACGTGCCCATCGATTGAACTCCAGATCAATCTCAACTCTGCCTTCGGGGTGTCACCCACAGTGATCTGACTCCCACCAAACATACGGACACCTTGCCGGGTTATAGAATGACTCCACGTACCTTGGGGTCTTCGGACGCGGCCACGACTCGTGGACGGTTCGCGGATTCGCGGAGGCCACGGGGGAGGCCGAGAAGGCGGTGGAGGAGACCCAGGCGGCGGGCGGCGGCGTGGAGAGCCAGGTGGAGGCGGCGGGGAAGGCGGCGGCGGAGAGCGTGAAGGACGGGGACGGTGCGGTGGAAGATCAGCGGACCATGTAACCCATGTGAAGATAAAGTCGCACCGCGGTTTCTTTCGCCATTTTCCGGGTCTCAAGAAAGATTGGGGCTCCAGAGATGCAGCCAGAGGCTTGGGTGTATCACGGCTGCATTCCGCCTTTTTCACGTTGGCTTGAGACTCTATCAGTGGAACCGACCCTTCCCAAATGACCCCAAGTGGTCGCATCGGCGAAACTCACGTGGAACCCACTCCCTTTCGCCCCCAGCCGACCCCAGCCGGCCCTTTGTGGCCTTCAGGAGGGTGGCCTGAACACCGCGGATCAGGTCACCTCGGCCTACAAGTCCGCGGAGGAACGAGCGGGGAGAGACTGCACCAAGACCCGATTTTCAGTTCCCTTGGCCCAATTGGGCGATTTTGTCTGGGTCTCCGATCCCCAAACTTTTGTGCTTAGACCAAATATGGCTGTGTCGCTTCTTGATTTTTTCGGGACTCCTTCTTTTGGTTGGTGTTGGGTGGAAATCGCAAGGAAAGTAGGACATTTTGCATCCCTCTCTGTTGGTTGGTTTTAAAGGGGACACCACCAGGAGGTTTGGGGGTGTGATTGTGAGACCACGCCGACGTCTGCAGCGGAAGGCTCGCTCGTGGCCTCAGGACGCCGCGAAGAGCGCGGGGATGTCGGCGCCCGAGGCGGACGCGGCGGCGGAGAAGGTGAGCCAAGAGGTGGCGGAGGCCGCCGGCATGACGGAGCAGGAGGCGAGAAACTTTCGTGGGGGTTCGGGGGCGGGGGGAGGAGTTTCTGGGGGTGGGGGGGGGGGGAGGGAGATGGAACTGAGCTGGAGAATTCTGGACGGTTCTAGCAAAGTTTTACTTGCGAGGTCCGTGTTTGCTGCATGGTGTTGTTGAGGAAGAGGCTGACTGATTTGCAGCACTTGTCGTTCCCCGAGATTGCCAGTGGATTGGTGGATTCGGCTTCTGAACCTTCTTCAGGTAGGATCCTGAAACAAGCGAAAGCCTGCCTACACCAAATGATCCAAACATCCACACACAAAAGTACGACAGGGTAATTAATTACTGGAAAGGCACACACACACGGGATGTGAGGGACGTTGGGCTTCTTTTCATCCACTTGAAGGTGACGCAGCAGGATGGCCCCATTTCAGCACGACACGCACGCGCAAAGACCTTGCAGAAAGGTTTTCGGTATCACACACAGGTTGTGATTTTCGTATCCAGTAGAGTCTCTTCTTCTTCCTCTTCTTCATCTTCTCATTTCTCTCATTGCTCCTCTTGTTCTTCCTCTTGTTCTTATTGTTTTTTTGGTATTTCCCAACACAGGCACACGCCCGACTCGCCGGATGCAGGCTGCGGCCGCGGCCGCCGCCGCCGCTGCAGTGGCCGGGAGTCCTGGGCGGGGGGCGGGGGGCGGCTGTCAGAGCTCTCCCCCAAGGGGGGTGGTTTCAACAATGGGGTTGCGGCATACTTTAAGACCAAGCTACGCCACGACTTTCGGATGATGATGTGTGCAATGATTCAGCCCCCTGTTTTTCTTTCTTTTTTTGACACGTGTAAGTGTCCTATGACGTGAGTTGGTTCAATAACACTACCCAAACCTGACTCACGAAGGGATGACCCTCTCTAACAGCAAAACCGATTGAACCCCACACCACCAAAAGATAACTCTGAGACGTCAGCTTCACAAAATCCAGCACCAGTGGAAGACCCCACATGAATGCTTGGGGGAGGGTCTGTTTTGGGTGGTCTTCAAGGGACACTTAGAGGGAGCGACCTGGTGGGGAAACGCAACAATTTCCAGACGCAAGTTTTTCAGAGGTCCGTGTTCTTGGAATGGGATTTCCCATTTCCTCTTAGTTTCCCAAAGAGCCCAGGGACTATCACAGGCCCGCAACCCCCCGAAAACCCTCCGGAACGCTCCCGAACAGCACCAACCCCAGCGCCTATCTGAGACCAAGACGCAGCCACGTGCCGACGGCCGCAAGGTGCACGGCCGGCCTCTGGTAAAGCCGACCACGGCGCCACAGCTGCCTCCGCAGGCGGGGGCGCTGGGTGGGTGGATGGGGGGTGGTGGCAGTCCAGGAATTTCCTCCCATGGGTCAACCCCCAGATGGCCAAGTTCCAAGGTGGTTTTGACGTCAGCTTTCGGTCTTCTCATGTTGTTTTAAGGGTAGACTCACTCCCTGAGTTTTCGAATTTGCTTTTTGGGAAGACCAAGTTTGGACTTTTTTTTGGCCGGTCCACTTCTTGGGAAGCTCGTGAAGGGTCGGTTTTTTGACATCAGCTTTTGGAGAAAGACAAGTCTGAAGTGAGTTGCCTTTTGCAGACAGCGGCAATGCTTCGAGGGCTAAACATCGTTCGAGCCTGATACAAGCAGGCAAACTCATTGCTTGGCATCCTTGCGCCTTCGCCTGTGGCAGACTGATCATCTCCCTACGGAAATTGGACGGGCGTTGGTTTGCTTGGCAGCTTCAAGAAAGCGTCACCCAGCGATTCTGGCGATTCCATGGATGCTCCCAGCCTGTGGGACGGCTTTTCCAGGTTCTGCGAATTTCACAGTTTCAATCCTGTTTGAAAGGTCTAGCGGTCCCCCCGAAAGAAATCGTCGAACTCCGAAAGGTGGCGGAGGAGGTGCCTTTGAAGCCGCCGGTGGTGGAGCCCCCCGCAGTGCCAGAAGCGCCTGAGGTGGGGTGGGTGGGTGGTGGTGGTTGGGTGGTTGGGTGGCTGCGTGGTTGGGTGGCTGGGTGGTGGAGTGGTTGGGCGTTCGGGTGGCGGTCTACGTCTTTGGCGGTTGCGTCATGCGCTGATGCGCGCCTCCTGCCCCTCCGGAGGCCGCCACGGGTGAGACGATCTTGCCCAACCCTGTGCCGGAGTCCATCAAGGTGGGGCCGGCGTCAAGCGGAATCAGCGGATTCTCGGCGCGGTGGTACTTGTAGCTATACTGGTACGAAGATGCCTGAAAAGTGAGGCGAACATGCTGGAGTCTCAGATGTGTTTTGTTCTTTTTAAGCAACTTTTCGGGTCCAACCTGCGCCCGTGGTTGGAGGTCCACCCCACACCGCCCCACCAAACTCCTGGGGCAACCGGGTGGTTCGGAGGTGGTGGATCGCTTTGCGCAGGAGGGCATCGCTGCGGCCGAGACCAAGAAAGCGGAGAATGCCCCGGTGCACGACCAGGAGCCGCTAAAGATGTGGGCATGGCCAGAAAAACCGGGGCCCTGTCAGGAATCCTGAGGGGGGGGGGGGGAAATTCGCAAAAGGAAGCTATATGCAGTGTTTTTGGAGACACTCAAAATCCGAGACTCACGGTACAGCTGTGTGTCTCGGCTTGTTTTTTTTGGGACTCGGACTCCCGCAAATGGGCAGAACGATTTTGCCTCGCGATCCTTTTGGCTTCCGATCCTTTAGAACCAACAGACCCGGCTGCACTGCGGATCTCAGCGCACAGCATCTGAATGGTGTCTGCGGTGATTGACTCATTCCCTATCAATTCTGCTAGACTGCGGCTCCTGCCATAAACCAAGACAGCGACCATTCGGAGAAGCGGATCTCCAAGTCTGAGCCACAAGCAGACCGATGGATGAAGGGGCCAACTTCCCGAATTAGCTGCGAATTCTTCGATTCTTTGCATGACGGGAAGAGAAAAAGTCGAAGTGGACCCTTGACCTTTTTCCCCAAAGTCACATGGAACCTGTAGCAGGGCATCTATGAGATTCCTCTTGGCTTCTTTGGGTCTCATGTGAATGCTGCGCCAGTCAACATGAAGCTACAAGACGGCTGTGGCTCAAAACATGGGACCCCCAAAATGGTATCCCGGTAAATGGACAGAAAGACCATGCCCGCGCTCTTGGATGTTGAGCCACCAGAGAACCTTGCCGGGTGGGTGTGGGTCAAAATTGAACCAGGATATGGACCGCAGGTTTTTGTCCATGTTTCCATTTGCCGATCGGGCAACCCATTTTGGGGTTACCCGACTTTTGACCCACTGCTAGGTCTTGCTTCGTGAGACAAAACCCTTTGGTTCCCGGGCCATCAGACACCAGGCAGTGGCTGCCGCGGGCGCCACGGGAGCCTACGCCGGGGTCTCGGAGCGAGCCCCTTTGAATGGCGCGTTGGTGGCGCCGGTGGGTTTGGAGATATGGCCGTGGTGGTCAAAACTAATGGGATCCCATTTGGGGGAAGGTAGTGGGTCAAAACCAATGGTACCATCTTGGTTGGCAGGTAAATTCACCACGCATTTTAGAACCTATTCTAGTGGGGATTGGGATGTTCACTTGCGGGATTTTGACCCATGGCCGTATGGTGTTTGCTTTCGCGCAGGGGCGGTTTTTCGCCATGAGAAACTGCAACCCCAACCACAGTTGGGTGAAAGGATATGACAGCTATCCCCTGATTTTGGCTTAGTCATCCCCTTCACTTACCAACAGACAGGAAGTGAATCGTGCCATCTACGTTTGCCCCAGTGTAAAGGTGTGCTTACAGGATACATTTGGGCAAAGATTGGAGCTCACCTCGGGGTAAACTGAGCTCACACATCTTTGCTGCGGTGATGCAGTACATCCTTTCCAAGTTGAACAGGGCTCCTTAAAAGATACATTTTGTCCATTTCTTTTTCCACCAAAATAAGGGGAAACCACCATTGACAAGGCAATGTTCAGGTGTATAATGTAAGGATCCCTGTTGAAGATCGCCTTCACCAGCTGATGTGGAGGATCAGATGAACTTGGAATGTGCCGTTTGGGGAAGCCTTCTTTATTTGGGCTTCTCAGCGTTGGGACAAATTGGGTTCAAACCGCTGGACCGGACCGACAAGGATCAAGCTGGTGGGAATTGCACGTACGAAACGAGTTTCGCCACGTCTGAATGTCGCGCAGTTGCATTGAGTTCGGAACCATTCGAGGCATAGCCTGGAAGGGTAAGGGACAGGTTTCGCCACAATGGGCAGTCAGGTGATGGTGGCAGTCGGGCATTGTAAAGCAGCCATGGTTTGTTGCCAAGAAAACGTTTCCCTCCCCGCCATCTTGACCTTTTACCATTTTTTCATTGCGGCTATCAGCTACCCCCTATTGCTTGGATTGGGAATTCGAACCCCTGCATCTTGTTGAGACATGGCCAGCCCACCCCCAAGCTCACCAAAAGAAGTCCCGGAGGCTGTGGCCGACAAGGCCAGCCAGGACACTGCGAAGGACCAGGCAACGAAGGCCTTCCTTCGGCTTCGTGCTTCGGGGTTCGATGAGCCACCTGAATCGAAGTGAGCCCTCTGGATTTCGTGGCCCTGAGTTCTCACCTGGGGTGAAAGGGCGTTGCATGCCAAGGTGTTGTTTTTCTTCTTCATTTTGAGCAGGTGACCAGTTGCAAGTTGACCTTTTGAAGTCCCCGATTTCGGGGATCGAGAATTTGGTTTTTCAAATCCAGTACGGATTCGCTTGGGGCGGGTGCCCCAGCGACATTTGTCAGTGCAGAAAGCCTTTCAGGACGATGCAGTCCTCCGAAGTCCGTTCCGTGTTTGTTGGGGTAACCGTGGCAAAAGCACCTCATATCTCGCTGGGGTTAGGTCACAAAAGCTAGAAGCCACGCGGTCGATGCGGACCGGTGCATGCCAGGCAGTCGAAGCAAGCAAACCATCCATCCACTTGCTCCCATGAGGGTTGCTCCGCGCCTATTATAAACGATGCCCCAGCCTCACGGCAGAGATTTGGCGAAGAGCTTCCGTTGGTTTTCCTTCTTCCCCATTTGATTTTTCTTGTGCGGGATGTCGGAATGTAATAGGGTCCCCAAAACGGGGCTTTTTGTGGCAGAAAAATGCGACCTTCCGTTGCTAGGCAGCGGAGTATGTGGCCCACAAGGATGGCCTGCCCATGGATGAGGCGTGTGTGAGAGGACACGGCGAAGGGATTTTTTGGTACGGTCCCTAAATGGAGTTGCCTTAACATAGCTGACCCCCGAGAATGGCAACGGTTTCTCCTTCTGGTTTCCCTGTAAGCCCCACAAAAAGTGGTTCCCCTAACACAAGACACACCCAAATATTGCGAGCAATCGAGCAGAGAACCCTGCCAATTTGCCGTTCACCATGTCTTTGATGGATGGTCTACTTGGTGTACTTGCAGTATTTCGGGCATCCGCCATTAGAACGTGTTTATTGGCTCACGGACCTGGGGCCTTGGCTAGGGGTCGATCGGGGATAGCGGTCTATCGCCCTATGACACCCCGTTAATCTGGCCTTACTCGGTGCGTGCGTATCCCAGATTCGCCCGTGATTGTTTTGGTTGCGACAGCGATTCTTGGACTCTGAAATTTAGCATGTGATATTGGGCTTGTGTCTGAAATGGGGTGAACCACCAAGATGGGGGGGGCTTCCCCCTAAAACAACTCCAAAAGAGCTGTCCTCCCGGCGCTGTGCTGTTGAAGTGGCCGCAAGAGCGAGGCCAAGAGCGAGGCCGAGAAGGCCGTCCAGCCCGCGGCTTAATTGTTCAGCAGTGCTTTGGAAGATGCGGATGGATGACATCGGATGCCGCGACTTTTGATCTTTCGGATGACCTTCGGATGAACTCGTCGGGTTGTAGGGGGCTTTTGGGGTGCTCGCAGTTTGCCTCGGGCCTTGGCTGAGGGAGGCGATCACCTCGCAGGGCGGCCACTTTGCGGGCTCCTGAGACGGCGTCAGGGAAAAGTGCTGCTTGTGGGTCTGGGGACGTTAGGCAAACTAAACCTTCCGGGTAGATCATTGACAGCCACCCGGGATTTCCTCGAAGGGCTCGCAAAGATAACCGGCCACCAACCCGATTCTCAAACAACCCTTCCAAACCACCCATCCACCCTCCCTCCAGCCCGCCCACCAGCCAGCCAACCAACCAGCCCCCATATCATAGCCATTGTTTTCTCAAAGTTATGGCTTGCAATTCGCGCCCCCCCCCCCCCCCCTTTTTGTTGGTTCCGGGGGTGGGGGGTGGGGGAGAACAGTGACCGGGTTTGCCATTTAGACACCTTGGGAAAGAAATTAAGGGACCACCTCTAGTGTACAAACCCTCCAGGGTGCAACTTGACTTCCTCAAAAGCGAACATGTGGTCCGCAAGGAGCAGCCTTAACCGACCTAGTTTGCATGTATTGTTGAGGCAAACCTCAGAAGCAGATGCACCAATTGACCCCGCGAGTTGTCGGGTTGGCTAGCGGACAAAAGTTCTCAGGTTGAGCAGCCGATTTTGCCGGACCCAGTGCCGGCGCCCATCCAGGCGCGGTTCGAAGGGACATGGGACATCGCGAGCGGGCGCGCGCGCGTGTGTGTGCGTGTGCGTGCGTGCGTGCGTGCGTGCGTGCGTGCGTGCGTGCGTGCGTGTATGTGTGTGTGTGTGTGTCTCTCTGTGTTGTGTGTCTCTGAGTCTCTGTGTGTGTGTGTGTGTGTTTGTTGTGTTGCGGGGTTTTCGTCTTTTTCCACAGTGGAAGAAATAAGCAGGTGTAGAAGCCCTTTTGAAGGGCTGTTCATTTCAGCGGAAAGGCAAAGCCTGGTTCTTTGGGGGCTGTAAAGGTTGGTTTGAAGGACAGGACCTGAAGGAAAAACATATTTTTGGATTCCGAATCCATCTTTGGACACACATGGACTCATAGGTTTCCCGGCCTGAACAAAACCGCAGCACAGCAGGTAGCTTCAATGCAGGTGACGGATGGACCCACCAGTTTAAGAGGTTTCAGGCATGTTTTGGTTCAGGTTGTTGAGGATAGCGGCCGCCGATTTCGGAAGGGTGAACTTCTTTGAACTTCGTGAAGTTCTGGGTTGTTTTTTTCTGATGTGCGTGCCGGGCCTATCCTGTAGTCTACGCTGGCATGTAGATCTCTAGCAGCATTACATTCGCGTGAATTTTACTCTTGAGGAGCCCGGAGTTGAGAATCTACATTTGTATGTTTCCATTTGTATTTTGTTCTTCAGGAGATCCAAAGTCGGGACATCCAGGGCGAAATTGACGCTTGCCCCCGCAGAAATCAACCAGAATCCAGTGCTGCAAGGGCGTAAGGGCAACCGCCTGCAGTCTGTTCCATTAAAAAAAACACAAATAATCCCGGTGGCGATGTTGATTTCCAATCATTCGTGTCTGTTTTAACATGCCCTGCAACATTGACGTTTCTGGCGCCGCCCCGCCAAGAGGACATTGGCCCAAATGATGATGTTTAACCCAACCCGGGGGTCGCACGCTGCCACCGAAGCTGAGCAGGCGGGCATCGAGGCGGCGCGGATCGAGAAGGCACAGGACAAACCCCTGCACGACCAGGCGCGCAAACCGAGAGGCCTTTCGTCGTGGAAACGAGGGCCCTACACAGTCTAGTCATGTCAAATGTGAGGCTGTGCGGCATGTGAAAGAAGGGCACGGATGAATGATTTTCCAATGTTTGGTAAGAGATCAAACTTGTATCAGTCTTTGTGGCAAAACATAAACACACACACACGATAGGCATCTCCTTGGCACCTTCTTGAAGTCACTCAGACCAATGATGTATCTTCCGAAGCCAGTGACTCGTCTTGATTCCCAACAGTGCGAACGTCTTCCTAAACCTTCCAACGAGCCTTCCGTGGGAACAAAACCAGGGAACACTAAGCGGGCTCAAAGAAACAGGCTCTGATCGATCGCTTGCGCCAGAGTCGTGCGTTTTTCCCGCATACGATTCATCCGAGTTCCCCCCCTTTTCCGTGTGGTGGGGTTGTGGTGAGGCCTGGTGGAGGCTCAGGGCCGTGTTCGTCTCAGGTCTTTGGGCTCGGAGTGCTCGGTTTTCCCCCGAAAGCCGCAAGGCCGTGGCTGCGGCAGGCACCACTGGGTCCCAGGCCAGGGGCTCAGTTCCTTTTGGCTTCCCTTTAACACCCCAAGAAGGGTACCCTCAACAAAAGGAAACAGCCATGTGCGAGGAATTTCAAGGGCACGAGCCCTGATTTCCCATGTCTTCTTGGGGAAACAAGTTTTTAGGTCGTGGCTCACCTGAAAAGGAGACTTTGCGCAGATTGATTGACTCATACTATTTGCCCACTTGCATGGAACAGACGTTGCCCAAGGAGAAACCCCCGCGCGTGAGGTTTGGTCAGTGTATCTTTGTTGGTTCCCTCCAAGAAGAAGAAAGATGTCATGGGCAACAAGCACATGGGTGTGTCCTTTTAGGGGAACCTTACAAAGAATGGTGGCTTTTTGTTGACTTTTATCTTTTAGTTTCCTTTCGAAAAAACAAAGAAGAAGAAACAAAGCAAAACAAAGAATAGAAAACGGGTACCCGCCAAAAAGGCCACACGCGGGGGAAGGTCATCCCCTTCTGTCCCCAAACTCAGGCCGTTGAAAGGCCCTGAATCGGGGTGGGGACTGACATTCATTTCACATGTCCACCGGGGAACTTCGTAACGTCGTATCGTAAGCGTGAGTTGGATATGAATTACCATGGTTTCGTGGCTGGCTTACTTGCATTCACTAAGATTCAACAACTTCATATAATGACTTACAGACATTGGTGTTTTCAGTTACGGGGGTTCGGCCGGAGAAAAGAGTCCGTTTGTTAATCATGGGTCAACATTCAGGTGCACAGATCATGAACGTGACGCATTTTGGTCATTCCCTCAAGGAGAAGCCAGCAGGACAACAACGTGCTGTGACTCATTTAGTGTTGAGGCTCCCTGAAAAACGTCCCTTTCGGCTTCCTTGTGGTTTGCGCTTCTGCACTTTTCGCCACGACGCCGATGTGATCTCTCCTACCCGCCGATCGTGTTTCATGGGTTTTGAGGGGTTTGCCGAGGCCGTCGCGGAAAAAGCCACCCAAGAAGCCGCGAAAGACCAGGCGACCAAGGCCGGAGATGCGGGGCTGGGCTTGTGGGGCTTGCCGGGGGGAGGAACCCGAAAATTATGAAGCGAACCAGGATCAGGGATGAGATCTGTGTGGGGGAAAGTATCAATGCGGGTGTGACTTAGTGTGAGGGTACCCTGTTTTGGTTGGCTCTAAAGGAAACGAAAAGGAATGCCACTTGTTGGGGGTCTCCTATTTAAGGACACATCCCGGTATCAAACCAGTTCATTTATTACGCTAGCCAAAGTGGGGCGACAGGCGAATGGCTCTGTGCAGCCTCTGTTGACTCCAAGACCTATACCGAGCCTTTTGATTCGGGTGCTTCCTTGTTTCGGCGTGGATAGTTGGTCGAACCATTGGAGAGTCATCCAAGACCTGCTGCCTGCTGTTCCCGGCCAACTGTTTTGAACTGTGGTGACTCAGAATGTCAAACTATGACACCGACCGACCCCAGCCCGCGATTTGCGTTTTGGGCGCCAGGCTGCAGAGTACGTTGCCCACCAGGAAGGGCTGCCCATCGACGAGGCGCCAACATACCGCCGGCCGGCGGAGCCCTGTGGCTGATTGCTGGGTCAGAGCAGTTGCGGCCTTGCCTCAAACCAACTTTTGAATCTGGACACCTCATCCGTTTTCTTTGGGGGGGCGGGGGGCGGGGAAGGGGGGGCGGAAGGGGGGGATGGGGAGGGGGAGAGGGGGAGGGGGAGAGGGGGAGGGGGAGAAGGTCAGGGGGGGGGGCTGGACACTTTCTTTTTCCCCACCACCACCACCACCACGTCGTTTTCATGGGGGGGACCCTTGTGCAACTCGGCAGGCCAAGAGCGAGGCCGCGAAGGCGGTCCAGCCGGGCGCCCAGGGTGGTGGTGGCTGTGCGCTGTGGCAAAGAGAAACGGGTTTTGGACTCCTGAAAAAGCGGATTCCACAGAAAACGGGACCGCTAAACCACGGAATTCCCGTGAAATCGCAATGAGCCAACATATACTAGATGGGCCTGTTGCAGCGGGAATTTGTTTTTTTGCACGGCTTCGCTGAGGGAGGCGATCGACTCGCAGGGCGGCCACTTTGCCCTGGCCTGAGTTCTCGGCGGTCTGAAGCTCGTGTCTTTGGCAAGCCAGCTGCCTTTCTCAAGGGATGAGCCCACAGACCTGCCAGAGAACTGCACAACCAACCGCTCTCTATACACAATAATGATCTCATCTATTTGGCGGCGGCGTGGGGGGTGGGGGGGTGTAAAATCCACAAGTACATGGATGGGATCATTAGTGTCGTATCCCTAAAAAAGCATTGGAATTGGACAAACATATGGTGAGGCAATTCAATTGTTGCATTCAATGTATGATAATTACCCCCAGAACAACCCCGAGCGAAATGCGAACCTGTTTCTAGTGCAAGCAAGCCGTCGTTTGCCAAAGGACATCGTTAACTGAAAGTGCAACAACACATGAACCAAGTAAGGAGGTCCCCGACAAGCATCACCATCCGATCAACCCATGCGACCCTTGCTTTAGCACAGCGACCCCATCGGATTCCAACTTCCACCACTCGGATTGGTGTCGGGGCTGCCAAGGTGGAGAATCCCATCCTTCCGGACCCGGTGCCGGAGTCCATCAAGGCATAGAACTCCATGGCTCTGATTTGTGCTAAGCAAAGGCGGTTCGTGGACATGAAGCCCAGCCTAAATGATGTCCACCAATGGGCCCCTCGTTGGAATTCACACCAACGTATAGATGAAGGCACTGGACATTCTGTAGATCTATATGTGGAAATGTGCCATGAAGGATCCCTGCACAGGCGGGCATCGCAGCGGCGGAGGCCGAGAAAGCGCAGGCCAAGCCTATGCACGACCAGGCGCGCGCGCGAAAGCTGTGTGTGGTTGGTTTCATATTGGCCCTGTTGTTGAGCTATCTCCCACTAAGTAGATGTGCTTTTGAATTTGAATTGATGGGCCCGCAGTTGGACTTTCACCGGAGGTGTTTTGAAGTTCACTGGGTCAGTGCAGTCCGTCAGGCGGTGGCCGCTGCGGGCGCCACCGGGTCCTATGCAGTGGGCTGAGTCGTGGAAGGGCCCATCCTCTTACGCAATAGCGAACATAAGGAGTGCTGGCTGTGCAAGAATATGTTCCCAAAATGGAACCCTGGTAAAGGAAAACCTGCGGTGTGGTGTGGTTCAATTTTGACCCACACCCCTCACCTATTTGCTAGGTCTTGACTCATTGATCCTGGGATTTGCCGAGGCCGTCGCAGACAAAGCCAGCCAGGATATCGCGAAAGACCAGGCGGCCCAGGCCGGACGCGGAGTGGAGTTATCGACAGCCGGCCTTTGATCCGATTTTGCACGCCAGGCCGCGGAGTACATCGCCCACAAGGATGGGTTGCCCCTCAACGAGGCAAGCCTTGAGCATTTCTTTTGTGACACTGCCCCCGCGCTCCCTTCCCTTTTCACCCGATGAGCCCAAAAGAGCAGGTTTGAGGAGGACATGGGACCAGCCAATTTCCCCCCGAAATAGGCGACCGGCCAATTCCCTTTACCCTTTGAGGAAAGAGGCAATCACTTTGTCCGGGGCTCTTGTTTCGTGCCATCAAAAAAACAGTTCCTGCAGGGGTTGATAGCAAAGGAGGTTAAGAATTCCTGGGACGCCATGACCCTGGTAAGCCCTCCCTTGGCCCCGTCCGCGAGGCGAAGAGCGAGGCTGTGAAGGCAGTCCAGCCCGGATCCCGCAGGATGACGCGCAGCGAGGGATGGGTCGCAGCATGAAAAGAGGAGCTGGAACTCCCTCACAATGGGACTCAATTCAAAAGGCGCCCCGAACAATGCATCTCCTTTTGAAACCAATTGCTGGAGTTGGCCAATGTTTGGGTATGTTGGGGCGTGTCGTTTTTGAGGATCCCTTTTTGGTGGTCTTGAAGGGAACCGACAGTGTTTTTGGGGACGAGCCATGCGTGCGATTCTTTCCGCCACTCCGCACTCTTTGAGCGCTGAGGGAGGCGATCGCCGCACAGGGCGGCCAATTTGCCGTCGCCTGAGCTGGACTGGGCGGGACTCAGGTCAGAGGGACTTTGGAGGGGATGGATCTTGAATTCCCGCTGCGGACGAACCAACGATGTGAAACTAGGATTTGTGGTTGCATCTTGTTAGAGGGTACCATTCTTCGGGTTGGTTTTGAATGCAAAAGGGATCAGCCCGTTCTCTTTTTTGAAGGATTCGCTTTTGAGACAAGCCCATGTCCATGGAAGGATTCGGGGCCAGCACTCCAGGTGGAGAATCCCATTCTGCCGCACCCGGTGCCAGAGCCCATTGAGGCGACACGTTCGAGAGCGAGCTCATTGACCATTTGGCCTCCGACGTGGTACAGATGCATGTGGTGCAGATCCATGTGCATTTGTGTGTGTGTGTGTGTGTGTGTGTGTGTGTGTGTGTGATTGTTTGTGTGTGTGTGTGTGTGTCTGTGTGTCTGTGTGTCTGTGTGTCTGTGTGTCTGTATGTCTGTGTGTCTGTGTGTCTGTGTGTCTGTGTGTCTGTGTGTCTGTGTGTCTGTGTGTCTGTGTGTCTGTGTGTCTGTGTGTCTGTGTGTTTGTGCGTGTGTCATTTATTTTCTCTTTTTCTTGGGGGGGAGCTCCAAAATGGTGGTTTTCCTTTTGGTCCTGACTTTCAAAAGACGACACCCGTCTGTGTGTGTGTGTGTGTGTGTGTGTGTGTGTGTGTGTGTGTGTGTGTGTGTGTGTGTGTGTGTGTGTGTGTGTGTGTGTGTGTGTGTGTGTGTGTGTGTGTGTGTGTGTGTGTGTGTGTGTGTGTGTGTGTGTGTGTGTGTGTGTGTTTGTGCGTGTGCGTGCGCATGCGTGTGTGCGTGCGTGCGTGCGTGCGTGTGTGCGTGTGTGCGTGTGTGCGTGTGTGCGTGTGTGCGTGTGTGCGTGTGTGCGTGTGTGCGTGTGTGCGTGTGTTCGTGTGTGCGTGTGTGCGTGTGTGCGTGTGTGCGTGTGTGCGTGTGTGCGTGTGTGCGTGTGTGCGTGTGTGCGTGTGTGCGTGCGAGCGTGCGCGCGTGCGTGCGTGCGTGCGTGCGTGCGTGCGTGCGTGCGTGCGTGCGTGCGTGCGTGCGTGCGTGCGTGCGTGCGTGCGTGCGAGCGTGCGTGCGAGCGAGCGTGCGTGCGTGCGTGCGTGCGTGCGTGCGTGCGTGCGTGCGTGCGTGCGTGCGTGCGTGCGTGCGTGCGTGCGTGCGTGCGTGCGTGCGTGCGTGCGTGCGTGCGTGCGTGCGTGCGTGCGTGCGTGCGTGCGAGCGTGCGTGCGTGCGTGCGTGCGAGCGTGCGTGCGTGCGTGCGTGCGTGCGTGCGTGCGTGCGTGCGTGCGTGCGTGCGTGTGTGCGTGTGTGTGTGGTGTGTGTGTGTGTGTGTGTGTGTGTGTGTGATTGTGTGTGATTGTGTGTGATTGTGTGTGATTGTGTGTGATTGTGTGTGATTGTGTGTGATTGTGTGTGATTGTGTGTGATTGTGTGTGGTTGTGTGTGATTGTGTGTGATTGTGTGTGTGTGTGTGATGTGTGATTGTGTGTGATTGTGTGTGATTGTGTGTGTGTGTGTGATTGTGTGTGATTGTGTGTGATTGTGTGTGATTGTGTGTGATTGTGTGTGATTGTGTGTGATTGTGTGTGATTGTGTGTGATTGTGTGTGATTGTGTGTGATTGTGTGTGATTGTGTGTGATTGTGTGTGATTGTGTGTGATTGTGTGTGATTGTGTGTGATTGTGTGTGATTGTGTGTGATTGTGTGTGATTGTGTGTGATTGTGTGTGATTGTGTGTGATTGTGTGTGATTGTGTGTAATTGTGTGTGATTGTGTGTGATTGTGTGTGATTGTGTGTGATTGTGTGTGATTGTGTGTGATTGTGTGTGATTGTGTGTGATATTGTGTGTGATTGTGTGTGATTGTGTCTGTGTGTCTGTGAGTGTGCGCGGGCGTGCGTGTGTGCGTGTGTGCGTGCGTGCGTGCATGCGTGGGTGTGTGTGTGTATATATATATATATGCGGGGGCGCATGAGGAGCTTTCGACCCATGGCCCATGGGTATTCATTTCGGCTAGACTTCTTTGTGCAAAATGTTCCGCTTGATTTTGGAGGCGGGCATCGCTGCGGCAAATGCCGCGAAGGCGGAAGCCAAGCCCACGCACGACCAGGCGCGCGCGCGAATGGGGTTGACACAGAACCGTTTACCCTCCCTCCAACAAACATAGCACCTGTGGCAGGGTGCCCGGAGGATGATTTTTTTCTTGGGGGTGCCCTGTGTTGCCATGTCAGTGGGAGGGAGGTACCTGCTGTGTGTGCGTGTTCTCGAACCGGTTGAGTTGATGTTGGTCCAACGCATGCCTATGAACTTCCGTAGGGGCTTGGGGTGCTGGCGCCGGCTCAAGCAGGCGGTGGCGGCGGCAGGGGCCACGGGGTCCTCTGCCGCGGGCCGAGTCAAGCGGAGTCAACGAGTCAGGCGGAGCCTCTTGAATGGAAGCAAGGTTTTTGACGCACCTCACTCCCTGAGTTGCTGGACTTCAGATTTTGTGGTGAACATTTTTTAGTGGTCTATAAACAGTTTGGACTTTTTATCACCAATCAACTCAGAAAGTGAGACACACGCACAAAACATGGCAAACCCCGCTGCAGCGACGGGTTTGGGGCTGGACGTTCTAGACCTGGCCTGAGGCCGTCGCAGACAAAGCCACCCAGGAAGTCGCGAAGGACGAGGCGACCGAGGCCGGAGATACCGTGGGTTTGCGAGTGGTGGGTGAAGTTCGCAGTGGGTTGTTATGCTTCTGGCGATGCGGATGTGATGCATCAGCTGAGCTGCCGGATTAAAACTCCCCTCGGATTGTGCATATTCCTGGTGCTCAGTAAGGAATGAGGGAATGAACCTAGGGAGTCCCTCAAAGGACACCACAATGGATGGTTGAAACCTGAACCTTGAAAATGTCAAAATCTTAGCCCATTTCAAATGCAAAAAGTGTTCAAACTAAACCTTGCATGGATGGGTCATTCCATTTCTCATTCCCTGAGCACCAGCAAAGTATTTCGCGCCAGGCCGCGGAGTACATTTCCCACCAGGATGGCTTGCCCATCCACGAGGCTGGCCACTGGAACTTGCGCGCGACCGAAATTTGGAGCGGACTTTGCAGGGCTTGCTGGACACCAAGAAGGTCCCGAAACACGGGGCAACGCGAGTCACTTTCCCTTCAACATGTTGGTTTCTGGAGGCTTCTGCACTCCTTGGCCGCCGCAGGGTGTGGATTTTATAGCTCAAGATGGAGCCACACCTTGGACCCCGCCCCCCAAACACTAGCAGCCAGAACAATGTGGAAGATCATTTTAGTGGTGGTTGATCCAATTATGTCCATCATCCACCATGAGTGAGTAGGGGCAGGGAAGCCAAACCCTTGTGGACCTTGAAGTTTACTTGTTTTGCCCCAGGAACCAAACAGAGGTGGCCAAGATTCGCGCAGGCCAAGACCGAGGCAACGAAGGCGGTCCAGCCCGTTGCTCAGTGCCGAGAAAGATGCTGGGGCGTACGTTTCCAGGACGCGCGTGCGTGTGTGTGTGTGTGTGGGGTGTTTTCCCAAACCGTCCTGAAAAAGTAGGAATAACTATGACTATAGCCAAAGACTGCCAACCTCTGCGGAACCTTTCTGTCAAAGACCACTTTTGACAGCCGTGAGCAACGTACATTTTGTCGGATCGCGCAAGCACGTTCGAGGGTCCTGTGTTTTAGGAGTTCTGACAGCGAGGAATTGCCCAGTGCTTCCGGTTCCCATTGTGGGTTTCCAAGCAACAACCGCCACGTATGCCTTGCCATAGTTTTAGATGCAGTACAATTTGTACCCCATGTACCTTACCATAGTTGTAGCCCACGTGTAACGGGAAGCTCCCGCCGAGGGAGGCGATCGATGAGCAGGGCGGCCGCTTCGCCGGGCGGACTCGGAGGTGTCAATGTTACCGGCAGTGCATGGTTCATTTTGGAGGGACATGATGGGACGAGCTCCGTTTTTTTTTTTTTTTTAGGGGACAAAGTTTCAAATTTGTCCTTGGGGAAACCAGTCATTTTGACCGGAGCTCACATACCTTAGGTTAGCTATTTCCGTTGTACCCTCAGGGGAACCCCAGGCACCTTAAATACCCACCCGAGGGACTTGAAGCTACACAGGCCTTCCCTGAATAACCCACACATCTCAAAGACACCCGCCAAAGCCATGCGACAAGCCCCAAGATTTCCACAGAGGATTCTCCAGCCCTCCAAGATTCGGCCTGCCAGATAAGGCATGGGTTCCATTTTCCCGGCCCCTTCCCCGTTCCATTTTCCCGGCCCCACCCAGGTTGTAGACCACGTTGACATCCTGCCGGACCCGGTGCCTGAGTCCATCAAGGCATGCGCAGATCGCAGAGATGCCGCGAGCTTTCGACTCACGGAGCTCGGTTTGCAGCGAGAAACGCGCAGGCGGGCATCGCAGCGGCGGAGGCCGAGAAAGCGCAGGCCAAGCCTATGCACGACCAGGCGCGCGCGAAAGCTGTGCGTCAAAGTCACGGGCCTGCCCATGTTTGGTTTCACGTTGGTCCTGTGTTTGAGCTGTCTCCCACAAAGTAGATGTGCTTTTGAATTTGAATTGATGGGCCCGCCAGTTGGACTTTCACCGGAGGTGTTTTGTGGTTCACTGGGTCAGCGCAGTCCGTCAGGCGGTGGCCGCTGCGGGCGCCACCGGGTCCTATGCCGCGGTCTGAGCTGAAGCGAATCAGACGGATCCTCATACGCAAAGGACATGAGGGTGTGGCATGGGTGCGGCTCAAAGTTCAGCTGGGCATTCAGGGTTTAGTCTTTGTTCCCATACCAGGTGCCATTGTGGGGTGCCGTTTTTTTTAGCAAGCGGACGTCCCCGATCTGCTGGTTCTTGATGGACCTGGGGTTTGCTGAGGCTGTGGGAGACCAAGCCACCCAGGAAATCGCGAGAGACCAGGCGACCAAGGCCGGAAGTTCCGGGACTCAATCGACGGCCCCAGCCCCTCCAAATCTTGCAACATGTCAGGAGGTGGGGGAAAAGATTCGAATGCTCTTTTCATGGAAAGCCGTTTTATTGACTGCCCCTCCTTTGCTTGCTTCTTGGTGCCGGGTTGTAGATTTGCCGCCTCCGCATTTGGCAACGCATCAGGCCGCAGAGTACATCGCCCACAAGGAGGGCCTGCCCATCAAGGAGGCGAGCCAGCTGAAATCGGTCGGCGCCGAAAATCAAAAGCCGGCTGGCCCCCATGATTTTACCACTGTCAACATCAACCCAGATGGTTAGGGTGCCGTGAAGGTGCGGGTGATTGCACGACATATTGTTTCAAGCTTGGTTTTGACGCCACTCCGCGCCCTGTCGCCTCGTGTCCTTTCCGGCACCCCTACAAGAGGAAGACACGAGGGCGCTAGGAAGGGTTTTTCACTCCAGGGTCCCTAAGCAACACTTCGAGGAGCAGTGAAGTCCCCCTTGATTTTTCCTGAGGGTGCGCTGTCAGTCGGAGTGAGGCCGAAGATGAGGCGGCAAAGGCGGTCCAGCCTGGCGCCAACAGGTGGCGTGTGAGTGTGTTTCCTAGGAAGAATGGGACTGGATCTTATAAGACTACAAGCAAACATTGGCCAAAGAATTCCTTGGTTCTTTTGGGCTTCCCCCTGGCCATCCAGCGGGTCTTGAGTCTAAGACACATGATAGGCGTTATGAGGGATCCTGCACAGGAATTGTTGCATGGTCCGATCGTTGTTTACGTGTAGTTATATGGGTGTGTGTCAATATAGACAGAGGGAACCCCAAAAATGGTTGGTTTTCATTTTGCCTTCCCCTTTAAAAAAACACTCCGCAGAGGGTACCTCAGAAAGCACCCATATGTTGGCTTTGCCGAGGGAGGCGATCAATGCGCAGGGCGGCCACTTTGCCGTTGCCTCAGATGGAGGAGAGGCGCTGGCGCCAGTAAGCAAACTGAAAACTATGCTTTTCAAGGCCAACCCTTTTTCTTTGAGGTCTACCAAAACAACCCCATCCAAGCAATCCGTGTGGTTCCAAGTCACCTTCAGGTGGAGAATCCCATTCTGCCGGACCCGGTGCCGGAGTCCATCAAGGCGCAGATTAGATCTCTTGGCGTCGGTCAGGATGTGCGGCCTTTGAAAGGGAACCCCCGACTGTTTTTTTGCTTACTTTTTTGGTTTGCCCTTGAACCAACCTGAAAGGGATACCCTCAGAAAAAGAGACACACACACACACACACAGCTTTCAACCCACGGAGCTCGGTTTGCAGCGAGAAACGCGCAGGCGGGCATTGCAGCGGCGGAGGCCGAGAAAGCGCAGGCCAAGCCTATGCATGACCAGGCGCGCGCGAAAGCTGTGGTTGGTTTCATGTTGGCCCTGTTTTTGAGCAATCTCCCACAAAGTACTTATGCTTATGAATCTGAATCGATGGAAGCGCAGTTGGACTTTCACCGGAGGTGTTTGTTGTTCACTGGGGCTAGTGCGTCAGGCGGTGGCTGCTGCGGGCGCTACCGGGTCCTACGCAGTGGTCTGAGTCGTGGGGCAATCAGTGGCCTGAAACAAAGCAGACGGATCCTGTTGCAAGAGGAAGAGTTTTATCGCAACCACATGAACACAGGAAACAACACTGAACATCACACACAACACATCACAAAACAAAGGAAGCAACACTGAACATGAGGCCGACAACTTACTTCGCCTTTTGAAACTCCTCGGTCTTGATGATGTTGGGGTTTGCTGAGGCCGTCGCAGACAAAGCCACCCAGGAAGTTGCGAAAGACCAGGCGACCAAGGCCGGATGCGGAGTCGGGTCATCGGCGCCTGGCCTTTGATCAGATCGCGCGCTTCAGGCCGCGGAGTATATCGCCCACAATGAGGGGCTGCCCATCAATGAGGCACGGCGCAAGAGGCTTGAGCCTGGCCTGCAGTTTGGGATGGAGGGGAAGGCTGAGGCCATTGCCGGACTCTAGATCGTTTCCGGCGCCTTTTGAAGCCGATCGGAAAAACCAGTTCCTTTTGACAGTGCCCCCAACCTCCCCCTTCCCTTTTTGGCCGCAGCCCGAAAGAGCAGCTGCCGCCATTTCCTTTGTCCCTCGGAAAGAGGTAACCTGTGCCCGCTCTTTTGTTGTAAGGTCAAGATTCTTCAACCTGTGCTTGGGGTTGCTGGAGAATTGAGGAGGACACCATGGCCAAAGAGTTGTGAGCATGGCGCCTCACGTCCGCTGGATTTCCCCCAAGCCACGCCCTTGGCATCTCTTCCGCGAGGCCAAGAGCGAGGCCGTGAAGGCAGTCCAGCCTGGCGCGCAGCGTGAAAAGACTCCCTCAAAATGGGACTCCGTTTTAAAAGGCGCCCTGAACGGCATATCTCCTTTTTGAAACAGAAAGCAAAGTTGGACCTCAACCACCCTAATGGTTGGTTGGTCCTTGGAACAACCAAAAGCAGGTCTCCAAGACATGGGCTGACCCGTAGCCGTTATGAGGCGTCGTGCCCTTCATCCATCAATTGCAATTTTGGTCCAGTGCGACGCTCTACTTCATTTGTGTGCCTTTTTGGAGGGTAACCCTTGGTGCCCCTTTTCACAATTGGGAAGACGTTCTCATTCGAACGATTTTCTGCGGCCCACTCCGCACTCTTTGAGCGCTGAGGGAGGCGATCAATGCGCAGGGCGGCCAGTTTGCCGTTGCCTGAGCTGGGCGGACTCAGGTCGGGACTTCGGCAGATCTTGGATTCCCTCTGATGAAGCGAGGGGAAACTGGGACTTGTGGTGAGTGTGTCAAAATACACACACCCCTTCCACCCCCCAAAAAAGCAGCAATGACGGCTGATGGTTTTCAGGTTGGTTTCCCTTTTCCCCCATCCTGAGAACACAAATCGCAAAAGAGAAGCTGTCCACCCTCCAGGTGGAGAAGCCCATTCTGCCGGACCCGGTGCCAAAGTCCATCGAGGCTGTTTGTTCGCATTGGTTGCTTGTGTGTGCATACATGTATATAATATTGATAATATGTATATATATGGTTATGTACATTTTGTTAATGTTGAAACGCATGTGGAAACATGAACTGTGTGTGGAATGCTTGACCACAATGGCATGTGCCATTTTGGCTCAAGCATTGTTCTGGGTTCCTGGAACCCAAGCTGATTGAAAAACTTTGATCTTTGGCATTTTCGAACTTAACCCCGACCAAGCAATGGCTTCCTCGGCAACCTCGGCCACTTCCTTTGAGTTGATTGAGGACCAGACACTCACCGTGGAGGAGGTTGAAATGGCCAGCCAGGAGGCCCAAGACATTCGCACACGGGAGGCGGCAGTGGCGGCCGGCTTGGTTTTGGACGAGCCCGAGGCCCCCCCGTCAGCTTCGGCGACCGATGTGATGAAGGACCTCTCCAGTGCACTGGAGCGTCTCCGAGTGGCATTTGCCACACCGACTCCCGGCCCGGGTGCCCCTGGCCCCGCCGAGGAGGGCGACAAGGACATGGGGGATGCGGACGGCACGGAGCGGGCCACGCCACCGGAGGAGGCGCAGACGCCACCCACGAAGAGACTGAAGGGCTTCGTGGCGGCTTCTCAGAAGGCTACGTCTCAGGCCAACAAACCGGTCTCCTTGGTGCCGGTGGACGGAAAACCCGGGTACTTCAAGCTGGTGGACCTCCCAGACCTGTTTCCAGTCCTTCCAGCGTCGGCGGCCACCTTGCTGAGAGACATCACGGTGGAGGAGGCGGTCTCCCTGTTTCACAAGTTTGTGGGGAAGAACCTCACGGAGGACCTGGTGATTCGCATCCTGGAGGCGTATGTCCCGATGAAGATCCAGCTCCGCCAGGAGGAGGTCTGGGCTTCGCAGTTCCAGAGGAACAAGGCGTGTATTGGCACCCAGCGCATGCACAGGCGCAGGTCATTCCGATTACAAGTTCATGTGCAAGGCATGCGGAACGGGGTGGCCAGAGGCAGCCAAGCAGTGCTGGGTCTGCCCCGGCAAGGAGTTCGCCCCCTTCCAGGCACCCTCAGCCACCTATGAGGCGGACGGCATCACCTACAACCTGCTCATCGTGGAGGGCAAGCCGACCTGGATCCAGCAGCGGGAATGGGGAAGCCTGGGTGCCGTTGGCCCCGGTGGCACCCTGGCACAGGCCGACCGCAACTTGGTGGACGGCACGGTCTTGGGGAGAGCCCCTCCAAAAACGGACTCGGCAGATGAGATCACCATGGCAGATGCGGTCCCGCTTAACAGGCGCAGGAGATCCTGTCCATGGAGGCGGACGACGAGGCGTTGAAGGTCCGGGAAAGCCAGGAGATCAAGGTCAAAGTGCAGCGGTCCCTGAAGGAGGCGGAGGCTCAGAGCTTCCAGCTCTACCATCCCCAGGTGGACCAGGCGATCAGGAAGAAGGAGGAGCTGCATAACGCCTTGCGGGAGCATCGGGAACCAACTCCGGAGGAGGCCTTGGCCAGGCGGCTGGACAACGAGATGGCGATCCTGGCGCCCCTCCAGGAGGGCATGCAGGCCCTGCCGTCAGATGAGGTGGCCAATGAGGGAGCCCGTGCCCTCAGGAAGGTCAACCTGGAGCGTTTCAAGGCCAAGCTGAGAGACCAGTGCTTGGAGGGGAAGGGCGTTGACGCCAGCCAGGCATTGGCTGAGGCGATGGGCTCCATTCAGGAGGCTCAGGCAACCACACTCTCAATGTCGGCGTGGCCGATGATCTCAGGAAGGCCCTGGAGAGGGGCCTATTCTGCCCCCTGGAGCTGGATGACCCCGACGACATCCCGGGACATCAAGGAGAAGTATGTCCCCTACATCAGGATGCTCAAAGCGTCGCAGAACCCGTGACACCAGGAGGCACTGCTGGAGGAGATGCCCGAGCTACCGGCCCCCCCCAAGGGTGCCACCAGGGGGACCAGCCCAGCAAGACCTGGACTCTGAGGATGGCAAGCTGTCCCTTATCCTCTGGGCAATGAAGCGGCACCAGGGAGAGCTCCGGATGTTTGGGGGGGTTTGGAAGAAGCACGCAAGCGGTGAGACCCCCCGGGGCGCTGACCAGCAGTTTAGGCTCGCGCCGGAGGAGCTCCTGGCCCTTGAGCGCAAGGACTCACCCATTCACGTGCGAGCAGGACCACATCGACCCAGTCATCTACACGGCCTTGGAGATCCGAGCTCAGGTGAACCGGGGCGAGCGCCCGGCACCGGAGCAGGTGGTTGGTATCTTCTGGGCGAAAGGTGATGGGGTGTTTTGGACCAGACAGACGAGAACGTGGGACCTGCCGAGCCTGACGGGAGTGTACGCCCACAGGTTCACATTTAAGTATATCTACTCGGCCTGGACCACTTTCCCGTTGATTGTGAAGACGCAACGCCGGGGCCGCAATGCGGAGGGCTCGACCTCGGACAAGTGGATGGGCAACATCCTCCAGATGAGGAAGGAGGCGGTGCCCTTCCTGGAGAGCCTGGGTATCCCCAAGCCGCGCAGCAAGGAGGAGTGGAGCTACATCTTCAAGGAGATGGGGACATTTTTGGCGGCAAAGAATTTCATCGTCAACTGTCCGTTGCCCGTGATGGAGATGCCGGTGGCCCCCATCCATGACAGTAAGGAGGCGCTGCGTTTCAGGGCAGTTTGCGACGAACGGATCACCCTCCCGCTGGCCGCGCTGAAGGCCTTCGACTCGGTCTACACCAAGTTGGTGGCGGGCCTGAGCAAGTCGTCGATGGTGGAGGTGAAGGTCAATTGGCGCTGCAACGTGGTCCACGACTGGGTCGAGCAGGTCCCGCAGGAGGCGGCGGGCGCCTTGTATGACAGGTTGGGCTACTCCCAGGACCTCATCCGGCACCTGGGTTGCTCCCCCCCCTTGGGTGCCGTTGGCCCCGGGGGGGGAGCGGCCAAGGAGGCGGACCCCAAGGCCAAGGTCCTGGGGGGGGCAGACACCACGCTCCGCACCCCAGACCAGGGCACCAGGCGGTACCCGCCCATCACCACGGCCACGGTCACGGCGGTTGCGGGCCGAAAGTACATCAAGGAAAAGTTCAAGACCACGGGGGGCTATATGTGCAGATTTTGCAAGGGCTTCTGGAAGGCGAGCCGCGGGGGACCAGGCTGCTCCAGATCACGGGGTGGCACAAGGATAAGGCCACCTGCTTGCAGCTGGTGACGGACGAGCCCCCGGAGCAGCTGTACAATCAGTGGATCCGCGATCGGATGGAGTTCTACAAGAGGGTGGAGCCAACGGAGCCCCCGCATGCGCTTCAGCTCCTCGAACGGCCTGGGGGATGTCTCCACGGCCTTGTGGTCGGTCATCCTGAGCAACCCGGAGAAGTCGGGGCTGGCGGCAATCCACTCGGTGGCGAAGGAGGCGATCCTGAAGGAGGGAGCCGCTAGGTTTTGTCTCACAACCCGGGAGTCGTGTGATTTCTTCCTCCCGGGACCCGTCTCCGGAGGGGGAGGGGGAAAGGGTTTTCCTTATTGGGTTCGTTTTTCACCACTGTTTCCTCTCTTATTCCATTTTGGTGGCGCACGTGGGTTCTTCTGGTTGCATGGCATTGGAGCCACGTCACGGCAGCTTGATCCCCTCGACCATGAGGCCACAGGCATTGGCTGCCCCAAGGACGGGCCATCTCAGCCACGGTTCGGAAAAAGTGGCTGCGGCCGACTCTTGGTTTCCTTGAGGTCCCCTTGGGGTTTTGGGGAATCCCCCGCCTGGTCGGTCTCCCCCTCCGTGCTTTTGGGGGGTTTCTGGGGGGTTGATTTTGGGTCGCACTCCCGGTTACAATCTCGGGACTTTGGGGGGGTCCTGTCGGGGTGCGTGTGGCCTGCCTGCTCCATCTGCACTCTGCATTCTGCACGATTGGAGCATGCATGCATTGTGCCGCGGTTGGGTCCCGGCGGTTCGATAGGAGGCTCGAACCCCCCCCTTTTTCATCATGGCTAGGGTATCTACCAAGTTTCTTATGCGCCCGCCTACACACGTCTTTGGGACCGCATTCCAAGGGTCCTATGGGACACGTTGGCGGATGAGTCCTTCTCCCCGAGACAGACACGGGGAGCTGTTGGTCCTGATGTGCCTGCGCCAAGGCACGGAGGAGGAGGGGAGGAAGCTGGGCGGAGAGCCGGCAATCCGCTTCGCTCAGCTCCTGGAACTCTCGGGCATTCCGGTAGGACAAGACGACCAAGTGGTCCCGACGGACTACTTCAACGGCCTGGTGGCGTCGGCGGCAGGCAGGCTTCCCCAGCCTCTGTCCGCGGCAGGATGGTTCCTCCTCCTGGCGACGGCGGATGGCAAGCCGAGCGAAAACTTTTCCCCGCTGGAGAATGAATGGGACCGCCAGGACCAATGGAGGTGGTTCTCACGAGATGACCCACCCCCGCTCCAACAACCGGAGCTTCTGAAGTGGAGGCACTGGCGCCCTTTGCGGAGCACATCGCGTACATGCAGGAAATCTGGGGGAGGACTTCCGCAAGGAGGCATTGGACCTCCTGGGGGACAATAGGTTCCGGACACTCAGGCAACATTGCCTGGTCTACGAGAGTCTCCGGAAGAGAGGCTTCACGGTGATTCCATGGCAGGAACGACATGTCCGCTCTCTCCTCAACCAGCTCGCCGAAGAGGAGGTCACCCCGTACAAGCTACGGCAGGTGTGGAACACCCTCAAATGGTTTTCCAAGACCTTCGGTATGCTGAAGATAGACGAGCTCCATCGCCTCAAGTCCAAGAAGAGCTCGTTGGAAGAGGCACTCACGGACACGGTCACCCGGCCGCAGCGCAAGGCGGTGGTCCCCAGCAAAGAGGTCATATGGGCTCTGGAGGAAGGGGCTGGCTACGATCACCTGGGTGCCACCGGCCCCGGTACGCAGGCGGCCCCGGGGAGGAGCAGACACGAGGTACTGGACGCATTCATCCTGGGTTTCGCCCGGTTCCAAGTAGGGTGCAGCGCTCGTTTCAATGACCTCCAGCATGTTCACCCCA